GCCCGCCGGAGGCTGCGAGGCCATCGCGGGAGGGCGCTGGGGAGAGAGGTGAAAGATTTTCAGCTGTTAGGGATTTTGGTGATAGCCCATGTATTGTACTAACAGTGGATGCCAAGAGAAATTAGGCGAGAGGGAAGTTGACTCAAACTTGGAAGAAGATTGGGGTCAAAAACGAAGAAGCTATACCTGGTGACGGAAGAGTTTATGATCAGAAGACTTAAGATGTTTGGGACATTAGCAAAAAAATGATGATAGCACGACCTGGTTTCGATCCAGGGACCTCTGGGTTATGAGCCCAGCGCTCTACCCCTGAGCTACCGTGCTTGTTGCTTGTTGAAAACTTGTGAACCACAAGTGCCCTAAGAGGTGACCCAGTAGAGCGTGTTGTGACTCACCCGTGGGTCGGGTTTTGCTTGCTGACCGAGGACTTACCGAGCTACGCACCTTGGTAGCCTGGCCCGTAAATGGGAGAACCTCTGAGTGTCAATTCGTAGATAACACAAAGTCTAAGTTCCCATTTCAGAGATCGGTCGGAGTTATGAAAGAGAAAAAAACGATATATCGCGAGACGTTGCCGCGCTGAGTTGACGAGTAGAGGTGGAGAACATGCATCGGCCGAATCAATAGAACCCAACAGCTCGGGCCAAAGATTAAGACCCACCCGGAGAAGGCGACCCGGGTCAAGGGATCAGGAACAGGACGGACATCTTGTGGCCAAGATGACCCCGAGCCACGTTTTCTCCCCGGATAATTGACAGATAGTTACCTAATTGCCAACTCGTCTTTATCAATCTGCCGAACCACCTTTGATCTTGGACATGTGGGTTTGCGGGGTTTCCAAGGCCGACGCTTATCTTGTGCGGATCCGGATTCCCGTATTGGTCCAAAAGCCGATCGAATTTCCCGACGCCTTCGGGAATTGGCCATGATGACGGACGTTGACCGGAGAGGCATGCATGAGCGACATGCCAATCACACAAAGGAAACAGTGATGGAATTCTCGTGTTTATATCCGCTGGGCCAAATCAGGGGCCCAGAGATTCCCCTCACTGCATGCAAACAAACTTGCTTTCTTCTCTCTCCGTTTTGATAAGCTTTTTTGAGGTACTGGGGAAACTGCCAAGAAACGGTCAAGATTCAAGATGGTAGCACCGGTAAGGAATCACTTACCACAACAGTATTTGTGAGATTGTCTAACGGCAATGACCAGAAATGGAAGCGTCTGGTACGGTTCATCGCCGAGGATGACTGGAGGGAGTACATCGGTGAACCAGTCGATGAGACCGTTGATGGTAAGAATCCCCGACTCTCAATGACCGCCATCGTACTCACAGTTCGGAAGTCGGAGCGGCCCTCGCGGCGTCAACTCCCGTCCCTGTCCGTGTCTTCTCCGGCACATCAGCACTCGACGCCTCTGCGGAGCCAACGCAAAAAGTCCTCAACATCCAGAAGCTCCTGCCTCCTCTGACACGGAAAGAGATCGGCACCATCCGCTGCATCGGCCTCAACTACCGCAAGCATGCAAAGGAGATGAACCTTGAGCTCCCTGAGCACCCTACTCTTTTCTTCAAGCCCGCAAGCTGTTTGAACGCATCAAATGCCCCGCTGGTAATTCCTCACCAGGCAACCGATGCCCAAGCAGACTATGAAGCAGAGCTCGCTGTGGTGATTGGCCGTGACGCCAGGAATGTCTCTGTTGAGGATGCCATGGACTACGTTCTGGGTTATATGTGCTCAAACGACGTGACCGGAAGGAAACACCAGTTCGCCGGCGCGCAGTGGGGCTTCGGCAAGGGCTTCGACGGCTTTGCGCCGATGGGCCCGTGTCTTGTCAGCACGAGCAGCATCCCGGACCCGTCCGTCATTGAACTGAAGACGGTTCTCAATGGCGAAGTCATGCAAGAGGGTAGGGGCGACGACATGATTTTCTCAATTGCCGAGATCGTGGCATACCTGTCGCAGGGTACTACGTTGGAAGCTGGAACGGTGATCATGACGGGAACACCTCACGGCATTGGTGTGAGCAGGACTCCGCCTGTGTTTCTGGCACCCGGCGATGACCTCCGAATTGTCATGAGCCATGGTCTTGGAAGTCTTGTCAACAAGGTCGTGTACGAGGAGAAGTCGCAAAAGGCATTGAATGGTGTGAATGGAGTCAAGGCAGTCAATGGGGTCAATGGTGTTACTGAGGTTAAGGTCAACGGAATACACTGAGGGAGAACAGTCCTCAAATCGTGGATCGGCGGAATATGAGTTCCTTCTAGAATTACTAATATGATCTGGGTATGCATACGTGGTGGGGCTAGTCCGAACGAACCAGCCTACGAGGTGCATCGTGTGTCGACTGATGTTATGTCATAAGGCGGGCTCGTAGGGCGCTACAGAGGTATTTCTCCAAAGACAATGGAGCCTGAACTAAAGACAGATTTACGTATACAACACCTCCATACTGTTTGGTCCAAATCGGAAGCATCATCAAATTCGTCCGTCAGAATGGAATCGCCCAAAGTATTCATGTAAGTCATCTCGCTAACAGCACGACCCACGGCTGACGAGGCAAAAGAACCGGAGCAACCGGCTACATTGGAGGAGACTTCCTCTATGCAGCCTACCATTCTCATCCGGAATGGAGCTTCTCTGCGCTTGTTCGAAGCCAGGAAAAAGCAGCAATTCTACAAGAAGCATTCCCAAACGTCAGGCCTGTCTTTGGTGACCTCAACTCGACGGACGTGCTGCGGGAGGAGGCTTCGGCCGCAGACATAGTTCTTCGTAAGTCTTCCACTATCCAAAAGGTATTCTGTCTCACATGAAATAAGACTTCGCCGATTGCGATCACGAAGAATCTGCTGGGGCTTTCATCGAAGGCCTCAAGTTCCATCCTGCAGAGCGACCAGGGTGGTACATCCACACTTCGGGAACGGGCATCTTGACCGTTGAAGACGGTAGAGCCAACACATGTGGGGTGCACCGCTCAAAGGTCTATGACGACTGGGACGGTGTTTTGGAACTATTGAATCTTCCAGACGACGCTTTTCACCGAAACGTGGACAAGATTGTAACCGAGACAATCGCATGGCCCACAAAGAACTTCAAGACCGCCATTGTTTGCCCTTGCTGCATCTACGGGCCTGGCAGAGGCCCGGGAAACACCAAAAGCACGCAGGTTTACACGCTGGCCACCACCGTTCTTGAACGAGGCAAGGGTATTAGGATCGGAGATGGCGAGAACATATGGCATCAGGTTCACATCCAAGATCTCAGCAACCTTTACCTAGCTTTGACTGAAGCTGCAGCTAGTGGCGGAGGCAAGGCGACATGGGAAGAAGAGGGCTACTACCTAGCAGAGAATGGAAGCTTCTCGTGGGGTGACGTGGAGAAGGCTGTTGCGCAGGTGGCCTTTGACAAAGGATTGATCAAGACATCGGAACTTGATGTTCTTGACTGGGATGGCGTTGTCAAAGAGGATCCTAAAGGTCCTTACAGATGGGGCTCCAACTCCAGGGGTCTTGCGACCCGCGCCAGGAAGTGTCTTGGGTGGAACCCTGTTCAACCGAAGCTCATGGATCTTATTGGAGACATTGTGGAACTTCAAGCCAAGGACCTCAAATAGTCACGTTGGTGGGATATCATACATCGAGGCAAGAATAAACTAGATCGGTCTACATTCTCAGGAGTTGATGGTTTGCCGTCATCAGGGGTCTTTATCGGTTGCCTTTGTTCAAGTGAGGATCGTGTTTGACAATTTTGCTTCCGCTTTACAACTACTGCGATCAAGAAACAGAAAAATGGCATTTCATTGTTGTGTGTCTTAGACATGCTGGTCACTGCGCAGGTAATCTTATGCTGTTGAAACAAATGTTTTTGAAAAGTGATGATGGCATCTTCACATAAGAAAAGGTCTGATCAGCGGCCAACTCCGAACAGGTTGCCAACTCAACGACCTCACCTTAGGCACTACCATTCAATAATACCATCATCTTCGTGAGTGCCATACCCAACCCTCTCCCACTTGTTAACTCATCATTCTAGGCATGATGGAGACAACCTTGGTGGCGCGAAAGCCACGCCTCTTGGCAATCTCTTTGCTTCACCACGAGATCCATGACGAATACTGGCGCCCATTTTATCGTGAAGCAGCACGCCACGTCACTCTCCAAGTAGCCACCGAGCCAGAAACTGCCATCCAAGTCTTGCAGCAGAGCACGCCCCCGAAAGCCGTGCTTATAACCGACGGTGGCCTCGCACGTCCTGAGAACGGCCACGTTTGGTACTCCGTCTTGGCGTATTTGCACCAAGGAGGCACCGCGATCGCAATGGGGTTCTTCTCGTACGTCCTAGTCGAGGCGGAAGTGAACTCGTTCTTCTCGCTGGCCGGTCTGGATTGGCGGGCGAGAGCGTGTCCCGAGGGACTCTCTGCGATGCTGAACAGAGACGCAGACCAAGTGGGTTCGACGGTGCTTCCGAATGAGTACATATGCTGCCAATCATTTTGCTTGACAGATGTTGGCTTTGATGAGGCTTGGTATGTCGGGCAGCCTGAATGCAAGAGGCTCAACAAGGGGGAGACGTTCTTTGGGCCTTGCTGTAAGGGGATTCCAGTCGGTGTTCCTGCTGCCTTTGGAAAGATTGGAAAGGGTCGGCTGGGATACGTTGGAGGTCATGACCCTGCTTGTGGTTCGGGCGATACTGTTTGGGCTATGTGTGGCTTGCCTCCGCTGTACCGCAAATTCTTCAGAAAGCCGATGGTGGCATGGCGCGAGTGAGTGATGGGGTGCCCTGTATACAACGGTTGCGATTTCTTTCTGCTAGAGAAGATGACTTGATGCTTTCAATGCGCACTTAGAGCTCTAAATATTCGTTTGATCATGCATAATCGTGTTGATGACATGTTCCCATTGCGACAAGTCTCCACTCTCGGGTAAGAAGAACCCCGGATCATCCCAGGTCATCTGAGCACTTGAGGTGCTATACGGCAGCCCAAGGCCAACGAGCAAGGGGTCGAAGTCAGGGCTCTCAACCGGTAACTGGGGTTGCGTAGTCATCACGTTCTGGGGCCCAGCAGATGCCATAGGCCGCTCAGCTGGAGATGCCAAAGCCAAGGGTACCATGGGATTAGGCGCCGGTGGTTGAGATTGCCTTGCCTTCTTCACGCACAGCTCGACTATCTTGACTTCAGCGAGGGCGAACTCGTTGAGCCAGACGTCGTTTCGCTGCATCTCGCAGTATGCAGCGAGGTCTTCAAGGATGGCCTGAGACCTGCGAGAATGAGGATCTCTGACGGCAATGATGCCGAGCACCAAGGCGCTGTTGAAGAGATTATGAGGGCCCAAACTCCATTTCAACCTGTCGTTGAGAGGTTGGCTAAACATTTTAAGGCCCATGCCTAGATCAGCGCAGGCTGAAGCGATACAGACATCGTGACTGTGCTTGTATCGATTGGTGATGGATTGCCGCAAAAGAAAAGGTCGGTGAAGGGTGACTCGGGCAAAGTGATACATGCTATGAAGGTGAAGTCGTTGCCATGGTAGGAAAGGAAGTCGCTCGTCCTTTGATGTATCGGGGTCGTCGAGTTCGAAATATGGCGGCAACCTGCCTCTCCAGGTCTCGATCTCTTTGTCCAACGTCAAGACCGTCTCGTAGGATACCGTGAACAGCCCGAAGCATCGTTCCTGGATCTTTCCAACTACCACAGCCAGCTCATGAGCAAGTCGACTGAACACGCTTGGGGTAGGCTCGGACAGAGGTGCTTCGGTGACATTCGCCGCTTCTTCGTCATTCAAATCATCCAACCACACGTTAGACGGGGGCTTGACCATGCACTGCTGGTCGACAATGGCAAATGGTCTGCCGAGGGCGAGGGCGATGGTCTTGTCGAGCATGTACAGGTTGCTCCACAACCGTCGCCTTGTCTCTGTCTCCTTCCTAGGCAGCCTCCATCGTTCGCCGTCAATATGCATCCCCTGCGCCTGGGCCATGCGCATTGCAAAGCTGGTGGTGAGCCACGACTCGGGGACGCGACGAGTGTAGATGAGATAGCGAGTGACCAACACTCCAGCTCTCACGAGATCCGTAGATTCGCCATAGAAGGTGGGGGCGATGACGATGGCTCTCCTTGCAGCCCAGTAGAATCTTTGAGAAGTCTCATGAACCTCCCTTTGAATCTCTTTGTTCCGTGGTTTTGGACAGTCAAGAAGAATACCATAAGCCATGACAATGAATAGTAACGCCAGCCATCTAAGGTCAATGGTGGCGAAGTCATCGAACCCAAACTTCCTAGACCAAAAGTTCTCATATTTGGCCTTGAACGAGGTTGGCTGAACGGCGTCGATAGCCCAGTTGAGTTCATTCAGAAAGCAGTCCGTCAACCTGTCAACTGTCGTCTTCCTTCTCGGCAATAGTCCAAGCAACTCCCATATCTGAGAGAACGGGCCGCCTTCATCGCGGAACGAGTGTGTTGAGCTAGCCTGAGCTTTCTGGGACAGTCCCGAAGAGAGCTCAGGCGCCGGAGCCTGAATAATCTTTGCCGCTGCTTGAGGGCCGAAGTACGATGATCCAAAGAATGACGGCGCGTCGCGGCTTTTGAAGAGATTGCCGACGGTGTATTCAGTCGGCTGGTCTTGTCCGCTTTCGCCTTGCCGTCTTCCACCTCCGCTGCTAGAGGACCGCGACGGAATTGCGCCGGATCCTGAAGAAGACTCGTCCTGGCGTTCGGGCTCTTGTGTCGGCATTGAGGGCGTTGTCGTCGGCGAAAGTGGTGTCGTGAAACTGACGACCGGTGAAGTTATGATCGGAGGCCGGGATCGCTGAGCAGGTCTTTCGCCATCATCTTCCAAATGGCTGTATGAGCATGACGAGCCTACTCCACGGCGTTCGCAGTTGAAGCATGGTCGAGATCCATTGCACTTGAGATTGTTGAGTCAGTAAGAGACTGTCAAGACATCAAAATTCTGCTCAATGATTGCCGTTTGTCCAAAACCAAACAATCCAAGACCAACAAACACTGAGATGCGTATCGCAAAGACTCAAGAAACAGACCACGCCAAGACAAGGATCAAAAATAGCCTATCGACTTACCCTTTGCTTTCGCCGATGACACGACTCGCACGCGACAGCATGCCTCCCTCGCTTCCTCTTCCGAGAAATCGGACTTTTCGCGTTCGGGACGTTAGCCGCAGGAGACGACGTCGAATCCATCGAATCTGCTGAGCCGCGTCTGGCCGGAGAGAATGCCGAAAAGATGCGCCCGGTGGTTGGGCCTCCTGACATCGGGGAAATGGAGCCAAACGGGGACAGATTTTGGGTCGAGGCGATGTCGGCCTTTTCATAATTCTTCACGCGACGGCGCAACTCCTCCTTTGTTATCGCTGAGAGATCCCCCACACTTGACCGAGGGCAAATTCTTGGCTCCCTAACCCATCGAAAAGACAGGCCGGGTGATAAGCAATCCTGGCATGTTTCCCCGGCTTTTTGGTGGCATCCCCGCTAAACTGCATGGATCATCAGCCGACGCCATTGATAGCTGCGGGCAATTCCCGACGCAGAGGAGTGCGATGATAGCGCTAGCGTCGGGAAATTCGTGGGTTGGCTAGATAGGTGAATCCGGTGACCTCACTCCTGGCTTGGCTGCCTTTGACGATGCATGTTTGGGTTAGATATATATCTAATGCATAGCCGGTGGATTCGTTCAATTGAAACGATGTTGATCAGTCCGAGCTAAGTCTACACCATCGACGACAACATCAACTTGTCGATTCAGCGAGACTTTGGAGACCAGCTTCGACGACAATGTCCGTGGAAAAGATGCCCATGGAAGCCAAAGATGGCGATGTCGATTCGCCCCATTCGGTGGATGCGAGCTCCCACCTGACGATTGATCCCATCGCGGAGAAGAAGCTATTGAGAAAGTTGGACTTTTGGCTTGCGCCGATGATGATTATCTGCTTCTTGGTTGCGTACTTAGATCGCAGTAACATTGGTAAGTCGCCGTCAATTGCTTCATAATATTGATCTCAATTGCTAACAAGTTGGCTACAGGCAACGCCGCAATTGCCGGCATGAACGAAGACTTGAATCTGACCGGCAACAGACTCAACGTCGCGGTCACAGTCTTCTATGGTAAGTTCTCAACCTCAACCCCTTTCCCGCAAGGGGAATTAAACCTGACGCAACCCCCAGTAACCTACATCACTTTCGAGATTCCCGCGTCCCTCATCCTCAAGAAAGCCCGCCCGAGCCGCCTGATCCCCTTCTTCATCCTCGCCTGGAGCGCCACCGTCGTCGGCTCCGCTTTCGTAACCAATTACGCCAGCCTCCTCGCGACGCGTCTGCTCATCGGCATGTTCGAGAGTGGCTTATTCCCTTGCCTGACGCTCTACCTCAGCACATTCTACAAGCGCGAGGAACAGGCCCGCCGGATCTCCTACCTCTTCGTCGCGGCGGCTCTGTCTGGTGCCTTCGGTGGTCTTCTCGCATACGGTCTTACTAGCCTGCACGGCGCGAGCGGTCTGGCTGGATGGAGATGGCTGTTCCTCATTGAGGGTGTGATTTCTTTGGCTGTCGGCCTCGCTATCATCGTGCTTCTCCCCGATAGCTTCGAGACGGCGAAGTGGCTCACGGAGGACGACAAGAACCTGATGCGCATCCGCGCTGAGCAGGCGAGGGTGTACCAGGGCGAGTCTGAGAACTTCGACAAGACGGAGGTCAAGCTTGCGTTTATGGATCCCAAGGTCTGGCTCTCTGCTGCTTGCCAGTTCTGCGCGAACACCTGCTCCTTTGGCTTCGGCACCTTCTTGCCCGTGATCATCCGCGGCTTTGGATACAGCAGCATCAAGACTCAGCTTCTCACGGTTCCTGTTTACATCTGGGCGTCTGCGGTCTACCTCACCATCGCCTACATCTCCGATAAGCTCAACAAGCGCGCCATCTTCATGGTTCCCATGGCTCTTGTCACTGCAACGGGTTACGCGCTCATGCTTGGTGTGAGCATGAAGGCGACCGGTGTCCAGTACTTCGCTACCTTTGTCACTGCGACTGGCATCTACTGCGTTGTCGGTCTGAACGTTACCTGGATCAGCAACAGCAACGCAGGCTACTTCAAGCGCGCCACCGCTATCGGTCTGCAGCAGACTATCGGAAACAGCGCTGGTCTCATGGCAGGCCAGATTTACCGCATCACCGCCTCTGACGGCAGATACACCATCGGTCATGCCGTTTCGCTGGGCACAATCACCGTCGCATCGGTTGGCTACTTCACCATGTGGACTCTTTTGAACAAGATCAATAACCGGAGGGACAACATGAGTATCGATGAGAGAGCACGGGAGATTGATCAAGGCAAGAAGGGTGACAGACACCCTGGTTTCCGCTACACTCTGTAGACGCATGATATCAGGTCGCAACCCATTTGACTGGGTACATAATAATACTGCCTTAGTTCGTTCATAACTCCGTTACTCCTGGTGAAATTCCCATGACATTCGGCGCTCAATTTGCCGTCGCAAAGTCACCAGTAGCCCAGAACGAACTATCCATCAAGTCCCACCGTCCTTCGTCCAATGGGTCCTCGTCTCCAAACTCTAAGCCAGGTGGGTCGAAGAAGTTAGTCGAGGGCGGAGGACTCAGGGCCTTTCTTGCTTTCTCGTTCAGCTCCTTGCAGGCACCGTGGATCTTCTTCAGCCGGTAGTCATCGGTGGCCTTGATCAGCCTTTCTAACAACAGCAGTGCAGATTCCACATTGCTCTGGTCGGTAAGTCGGCATGGGTGGTCGGGGTTTGCTAGGTTGTTGACCGTGATGAACATGATGCTTGTCAAGTAACCACAGGACACCAACCTGTGGATGTGTCAGCGGTGCTTCCTTCCTGCGAAGGGACGGAAAGACTCACCAAGTCAGAGCTGAATCATTCTCAGGCGTCGCAGCATAGAGATGCATGCAGGTCCTCGCCTCCTCAACCAGCTTCTCCCAGCAATCCGGCAGCTGTAGCGCGAAAGCTTCGGGAAGGACTTGCGGAGCTTGCCTTTTGCTGCAATTCAAAACTTCTTGTAGCCACTCGAGATGATGGGAGTCCGCATAGTGCGTTGTCGCAACCAACTGCAACTGCGTGTAGTGCAGCAGGCAGAGGTACCGCATGTACTCCGTTGACACAATGCCGACCACGCTTTGCGCCATAAACTCCTCCGGGATCGACTTCTCCCAGTTCTCGAGCATCTCTCGCAGTCGGATCATGTTTTGGGTTCTTTCGCGATCCGGGAGTTTCAGGGCTCTGACGGACAGGAGCATCGAGTAAAGCTTGCCTTGGATGTAAGCAAGCTGCACTCGGGTCCGGAAGTAGTTGAATTCTTGCCCCAAGAAACCAATGATGATTCCTGCCTTGTCGGGTGGGTGCATTTCGGGGAGATCTACATCGATGTCTGCATCTTGGTGGATGGCCGGCGAGCTCGTTCTCATGGCGCAATCCCGGTCCAGGATATATGCGATCCAAAAGACTCTGTTCCTTTGAAGTATTTCGGCCGCATCATACTCATCTTCGGGGCGCAGATTCTTGGTATAAAGTCTGAGGCCGTGAACGAGACGCATCGCAGTGGCAATGATCATCGCGGCAGGTCGGACATCGGATGAGCCGTGAAACACGAGGACCAGGCCCAGCACAACTTGAAGCGCCAGAAGATTGGGTTCGCTGACGACCAGCTCGTTGATGACTGATTGCACATTGTTGATGTATCGTTGCATGTGTTGTGTGTCTGTCGGACTCGAAGCATACGAATGCCTCTGAGCTAGAGCAAGAACGATGTTGACAGCTGCCCAGGCGTCTGTCTTGCGGTATGCAGGGTATGTGTACCACACACGTAGCATCTTCATGAAGACGTTTTTGTCAAAAAGTGGTAGAACTTTGTTTGACTTCTCAAAGTAGTCTTCGACGATTGGGAGGACTACTCGCAGCGGTGGGAGTGTCCTAGAGTCGTTGCCCGGTACTTGTACGCTGTCGTGGTCGGTAGAGTAGCTCGGGGTTTCATTGGATATCGACCCAGCTCCTAGCCCCCAAAACTGCTCTTCATCGGAGCTAGAGAATGTCTGCAGTGCTGAACTCAATTCAACCCCAGCGATGGGAGACATGGACACATGCTTGACAGTCATGGACTGGGGTTGCCCTTTTTGAGCCTCGAGTTGCGCAAGCCGCGCTTCCAGCATCTCGATCTTCTTGACACTGTATCAAAGTCACCATGGAATTCCACCAACTCCGACAGAGGCCAACTTACTGGTTCGGCTTGACTGCTGGAGCTCTCGTGGGGCCAGTGTATGTGCACTCTGAGTTGTACAGCTTGCATCCTGAACAGCGAGGCTGTTTGGCGTCGCATTTGATCTTTTTGTGGTAACAAAGATCGCAAGCCTGTCCATTTTCAACGACGATGTTGTCAGCTCTTTGTCTCTTTCACGTGATGTTGAGCCTCAGGGGGAGCTTACCTTTCTTCGCCGAACCCGCTTGGTCTTGGATGTTTCCTCCATGTTGGAAGCTGATGCAATACTGCGATACTAGGGCAAGGAGCTAGATTCTTCTGCTAATAACGAGAAAAGACTCCGCTTTCTAAGTGCCGCCGATGACAGAACGCAACTGAAGCAGTTGCGATGTTAAGTTGGCCGCATCATTCCGAATGGGAGTTGCCTCCGTGGGGACGCTAGATTAGTAATAGGTCAGCCCTACGACTGAAATGGGGATGAGATGGATCCTTCGTAGGCAGCTGGATTCTTACGTAAGACGTACATAGTAATTCAGTCAATGTCTCATCGACAGGAATCGACAGGAAAAAGAGGTCGTGTCCTGGAGCGAAGGCTGCGCTATTGGAAAAAAAAAGTTGTGTTGGTTGAGAACAAAAGAGCTCGGAAGTCATGATACAAAAGGCCAAAAAACGACGTTGGCCTGATTCGAACAGACGCTCCCGAAGGAACAAGATTTCTAGTCTTGCGCATTAGACCACTCTGCCACAACGCCAGACAGGCTCCACTTGGATGCGGGGCTGTGGTTGGAGAGAAGTGTAAGGATACCATCTAGGTAGACGGTACAGAAGCCAGCAATTTTCGCAATTTGTAACTCGCTGTTGGAATCCAGATTAAGCAAATTCATTAACGACTGGATCGATTAGGCTCGCGTTTCATTCCAGATGCCATCTGAATTTTGCAGCATAAACTTCAGCGAGATCGGATGGGTGCAGGCGCCGCTAATGTGCTGAAGCTTGACGACGGGATGTGAACCTTACCTAATGACAACTTTAAAAACTGTTGTATCAAGATTCTTTCTCTAAGATTTATATAAGGTTTGTCTTAGATATTTAGCCTCTGAAAATACGCCTTTATATCTAATTAGAGCAAGACCTGGCTTCTGAATATTCTGTTTGCTAACTAAAATCTTTCTGCACCTGTGCACTTGAAGGAAGAGTTAACGCGGTCTTGCTGACCGTATGAGTGATGATTACGACGGAATATAAGATTCCAGTAATGATTCAAGCATTGCGGAACACTGATGTGTTGTCGGGGAGGCAATGTTCAACGGAAGCTCGGTTCGCAAGTGATGGGGAAAGGCAGGAGCGACCTGGGGACAAGGCAGCATGCTCTTTCCCAACTATCCAACCCCCTTTCACAGGCTGCACACATTCACTTTAGCTTGAGTCCGCTTGTCACCGTTCGCTACCTTACGTCAATCAGCAGGCACCTCTCTTATCTCGCCAAGCTCCGAAAAACACCCTCCTACCTTCTCACAAACAATCCGCGCACAACATTGACGTCGACAGATGCAATCGCCAATCATGGAATCCTGCGAAGACAATGAGAGCAAGGCTTCTGCCCCTACCTCGACCGACAGCGAAGACGTACCCGACTTCGAATTCGACATCAATTGTGAGGAGGCATGGACTTTCCTCGTCGAGTAAGTTCTTTTCACCAGGTAGGGATGGCTTCAAAATCTAACGCATCGCTTCCAGGACTTCCGACACCAGCCCTGGGCCCAGCCAAGTCTTCCTCATCGCCGAAGACAAGAAGTTCTCCGTCCGTGAGAATATCCTTATCAAGCACTCCAAGTACTTCGAGAGGTCTCTCCGAAACCCGCGATTCGTCGAGTCGCAGACCAAGACCTTCACCTTCGACGACATCAAAGCTGTCCACCTTGGTGTTTACTTGCACCTGGTCTATTGTCAGATTTTCGGGCAAGCTGGCGATGTCCCGTACTTCGGAGAGCCGGAGCGTTGCATATGGTTTCCCGGACACTTCGAGATCTACCAGCTTTGTGATCGCTTCCTGAACAAGGACCTCGCCGTCGCTGTCTGGGAGGGCCTTAAATGCTATCTCATCTTGGAACCGTCTATCTGGAACGATTCGTACGTGAGCGAGGAATATGAGACTTTCTCGTCGTTCTACATCAAAAGTCTCTCGCAGTGCTTCAAGCTGCTCGACCCAACGAACGACACGGACAAACGCCTGGGACGCGCGATTATCTACTCCCTCTGTCACTGCGTCCCTATCGCTGCTTCTCAAGAATGCCTCAGACTCATCCAGGGCAATCATCGACTGCTCTTTGAGGTGGCTTCCTGTTATGCCGGCATGCTTCAGGAGGCAAAAAAGGATCCGAAACCGCTAAAGAAGCCAAAGCACTGGGTAGCTCGTGGCATGTGGAGGCAAACCCTTCCGCTCAGGCAGTGACCAACTTACCTGGCAAAGAACAATCATGATTTAGTCGTCAGGATTGCTTCACGCTAGACCGCCAGGCTTGGGGAATGGAAATTGACAAATATCGGGCCTTACGGCTTTGAGAGTTTTCTGTATCAATGATCACATCGCGTCTCAGGGATGAGAGTTTTGGCCTTTTCGGGGACCAAGGGAATAGAGACCATGACGGATGAAGACCTCAGTTAGTCACTCAGCATCTGTATATGCATTGTCTTGCTCAATACAAGTAGCATCCTGAAACAGCATTATTGATCTCATCCGGTGCCGCCACTGCTTTTTCATATTGGTTTGCGGTCGTGCGGAAAGTCGGCGTCACTGCCTGAAGCGAACTTCCCAAGGCAACGTCGAAGGATGGAGCTGCTGATCCAAAAGTAAAATGATCTCCTGAATCACACTCAGATTTCGTTCTACTAATATTCGTCCTTGCTGTATCTAGTGTAGACACTCATGCGGAGTTTCCGCGAACGTCGAATATTCGCTGCCCATGGCTCATGCCCATAAACTTGGTCGATGGTAGATGAGAACTGGGCTCGGATTGAAAATCGTTAATTTTCAGTGTACTTTTGCAAGTGTGATCTCTGCGTCTCCATTGAAGCCTGAAGTAGATTCTGCTGCCTTTGGCCCGCCATTGTTTTGGTTCTGACCCCGAAGCCGCCCCTTCTTTTCTTTGGCCCTACGTTTCAGCTTTGGCCAACTTCACCTTCACTCAACTATCCCCTGCCTTACCACCCAAGCTCTCAGTTTCACAGTGGTCCTCCCAGGTGCTGAACTTGAACCCCTCTTATCACTTTCACCCTTCATCTGCGCTTCGCTACTTCCATTATCACTCACAACGCCCAGTCACCAGCAAACATGGACGAATGGAGCAGCACTCAGAACGAGAAAATTGCTGCCAAGGCCGAAGATGACACCGAAGATTGTCCAATGACGAAGCTTGCCGACGAGATGAGCATTGCGTCGTTGTTCCTGGCGCCGTTAGTACACCCAAAATCCCACTTTACTCTGCCTTACTGATGGCTTCGTAGCGAGCAAGAGGACTGTGTCACTCTCAAAGCCTGAGGAAAGACCTTCACCTTCAAGAAGAGCATCCTGATCAAAGACTCCGAGTACTTCGCTGCTTGCTTCAAGAACGAGAACTTTATCGAGGGCAAGACTTTAATTGTCGAGTTCGACGACATCGACCCCGACCTCCTCGGCATCTACCTCCATCTTGCATCCATGCACGCCATCAAGAAGTTTGTGAAGTTTGACCCCGGCTTGATGAAGGAGCCAAAGCGCCTGAAGCCCATGGTCGACCTTTGTGAGATTGCCGACCGCTTCATGAACACGAAGATGACCAAACTCGTTGGCTGCTCCATCCTTGAAATAGCTATGGATCATCCTATCAAAAACGTTACATACGACATGACTGCTCAGGAACGATCTTGGTCTATCAAGAACTACAAGGATGCATTCGAGGCCCTTGACTACGGAGATCACGCTCGGGAGTACATGCGAGCGAAGCTAGTGGCCGCCTACTGTCGTTGGGTTCCTCTTGGAAACTTCAGAGACGACCTCGTTGTGTTGGAGAATTCTCCAGACTTCGTCCGCGAGCTCACAATCTGTTTTGCTTCGCTCCTGACAGATGTCGATACGTCTTGGACCTCTCAACGCGAACGAGTCCGTGCGAAATATCCCCCTGGCAATTGTTCCAAGTCCTGGGATGTGGACAACGGAGTCTTGGATATGGGTGACTGGATCAAGTGGAGGCCCTTTCCGCTGATCACTCCGAAATCTCGTTACCACGTGAGCTCTCCCTCTGATGTCGGGAGCACTTCCGCCTCGACTCATTCTAGCGATGCTTGGGATTGGAGCACTGCTCTCCCTGGATTCTTTCACTCTTAGTCGGCTTTCCCCAAGTTCCTTGCCACTTGGAATTTTCCGGCTGCGGTTCTGTGGCGATTGGGACATGCGACGTTGTTTAATTCGGACAGCAGCTTGGGATGAAACAAAGCCGGGTGAGATGAACCCGCAGACACGGTGCGAAGATGATGGAGAGGCAGAATGAAGGTTGAATGGGAATGAGAAAAGCAAGGAGGCATCTGAAGACGGACTAAAAGACAGTGAATGTCCATCACGACGATAATCTCTTCCTCTAGCGCAGAAATAAAACCAAGAGCATCCAGATCCTTCTGATTCCTACCGTGTGTGCTTTCTCTCAACAGGCAAAACCTCTCGCTGTGGCCTCGACCCTTTTTGTCCTCGACGCGTCAGTCTTCGAGCTTTCCATGTTTCATTTTCTTCCCTCTTACACCGCAATCTCTGGACGCCTCGCGACTTGCAGCAAGCAATCGCCACCATAAGCGATATTTGTGATTGTTCTCATGTTAAAACCTCGGGCGAAAATATTCAAAACGCGGCATGAACCCTGGTCAAATTTCTCTCATGCTATTTTTGAAGCGAAAGGTTCTCCCGGCAGCTTTCTCTCCACTGTTGACTCTCACGTCTCAGCAAGAAGATCTTGTTCTTTAACAACACCCATAAGTGTTTCTTCCAGGCAGCAGCGCTCGGGACTGGAGAACAAGGACGGCGGCGAGAAAAGTGGAGACATAGCATGGACGCTACTTTACCTTAGATGATGGAGCCAGCTGGGGATGGAATGTGAAATGAACAGACGACAACTGTGAAATTCTATCAGGGCTCAGCAAATCTCACTGCAGCGCGAAGGAAAAACATACAGAAGACCCAGGCTTTTCTGCATTGCGTTTTCTCATAAGCAAAATTATTCTCCCAATCCTCCATCTTTCCCACAAGACTCGGTTCGTGTGACCACACTTTTCCAATTCACATCCCAACTGCCAGCCAGTGTGCAACACCGTGAATATGGCCAACCAAAGTCAACAAGACACCAACCTCGGATTGGTCTTCCTCAAACCGCAAGTTTCTTTTCCTTGATTTGAATAGACAATTTTTATTGACCACCGACTGCAGCGAACCCCAAACCTCGGTGACGCTCCAGTGTGGCGACAAGACCTTCGTCTTCAACAAAGCCATACTAACGCAGCACTCCGAATTCTTCGCCACCGGTCTGAAGGACGCCACCGCTGCCGAGTGCGAAGCAAACACCATAACATTCAACGACATCGAACCCGAGCATCTCGATGCGTACCTTCAATTCGTCTACTGCAGATCCGTCAGCGAGAGTCTGCTCAAGGGCGGATCGAGGCCCTGGGCGAGCACAAGAAACTCGTCTTCCTAGTCAAAGTCTGGCAGGTCTCCGATCGCTTCCAGTCCAAGGCCCTTTGCACTGCGCTCGGAGCCCAAATCGCAAAGCTTGGATATGATCGGGAATATTCGAATCAAAACGATCGCGAATGGTGGGTTAACAACGTCGAGGCTGCTTTCGAGGCATTCGACGAGCATGCCGACAGCCAGGTGAAGCTTCGGGGCCAGGTGGTCAAGCAGTTCATTCTCGACTTTCCGTCCGAGCATCTCCATTCTGTTGTCGGCCTGGCCGATCTCAGCCCGGCGTTCATTCGCGAGCTTTGGAAGGCCCTGTCCGCCCATGCCTTCGATACGGAGAACCAGCTTCGCGATACGAAGACGAGGGCTCAAAACCATCATCAGAGGATTATGACGTTGGAGCGCGATATTCAAGATTGGCGCAAGCGAATCGGCGAGCTGGAGGACCAGGTTGCAGAGTTAGAAGAAGACAGGGATTACTGATATCCAGAAGACACGGAGTCAGGCACAAAATCACCGGAGGATCGCGGCAGGCTTCTGGCCTTCTGCAAGATCACGGACAACCCGTTTGATTCACAATGTCACCTTGACGGTCTAGATAGATAATAGCCCAGGCAGAATATGGGAAATACTCGAGGTGTATACAGCTTTCAGGGTGAAGTCGAAACACGACATTATGTGTGGCCACGCTCTTCAGTCAGCATCCGTGAACTTCTGCTCTTCAGATTTGGACGAATTTCAAGTTCATGTGTGTCTGTTCAGTCTCGCTGAGCTTGTATCTTTTCGCAACTACCTCATTGAGAGCGTACTTATTTCATTTCAAATGAAAGAGAGCCGTGCTGTCAAGGTGGCAGCGCCACTTTGATAGCGTCGAGAGATCACAATGAGTGGCAGGTCAGGGTCAAGCTGAACAGCAACCCCTCGCGGAGAAACATTGAGGACAAAAGCGCAAGCTTTTTTCAACCGTTTTGAGTAAAGTTCCTGCCTAAAATGGATCCTCTGTAGTTCTGTGTCAATCTCCGAAGGGCTTTTCTGTGTTTGGGAAAGAAGTTGAGCGACCCATGGAACGCTCAGAGTTCATTAATACGTTAGAGGTTCAAGAGGTTTTGGTGTAAGACGCATCTCCGATGCCCTACTTCAAGTTATATAGATAGATGCCTCTGCGCTTTCGCATCAGGTTTGGTCTTTGTTCGAAATCATTCTTCTCAGTGCATGAATTAGTTCATCCATTTGCAGACACGTACTATCTCATTCATCCAACAACGCCAACATGAACGGTCCTCAGAACTGGTCTCGGGAGTCATTGCCCAACTACACCGACAACTTTCTCGTTAGCCCGGCCGATCTCGACGAGAGCCTCATTTATATCCAGTGCCAAGAGAAGTTGTTCCGCATTAGCTTCAGCACGATAAGAAAGTACTCGACATACTTTCAGCGCCCCGGGACCGTGTATGTCATCGACGACCAGACCCCGGAGACCGTCGGCGCCTACCTCTACTTCAACGAGCGCTTGGTCTTCTCCCCCGACCCGGAGCACATCACCCCCTTCAGCAGCGTGCTTCCGGACTCGTGGGAGATTGAAAAATACCCTGGCACAGAAGCTGCACCTGTGGAATATCTGTGGCCAATTCGGAAACTACCTGCTCAGGCGCTACGTGGAGCAGCACATCGGCGACATCCTCACCGACTGGCGCCACTACTACCGCCACCCTGTTGACCACGACAGGCTGGAGAACCCAGAGTGGTGCGTCCTTGACAACTTTGGGGCGGCGTACCAGCTTTGCGTCGACATGAGATGGGACATTCAAGCCAGCGCCATTGTTCAGTCGTTCGTGCGGAACATCAAAGATGACGAGTGGGACGATTGGGAGGAGAATCTAGCGGAGGAGTCCCTTACATTCTTTTGGCGCGCTGAGAACGGGTTAGCAGAAATCAGGGAGGCACAGCGCCTTGCTGAGGCCAGGGACGCTCAACAACTTGGTGAGGTCAGGTCTGCCGTGGACATATATGTGGATGGAGTTCTGGCGGGGGAAGCCCTTCGCAACGGTCGTTAGAGTAAGGCATCGTCAGTCATGGACGAGCAGCATCGACAATCTGAGCCACACGGCGGACACCGACTTTGAGACTGACGACTCGGGCACTATTGGGGACGGGAAGAGTGATGCTGATAGTGAGGGTCTTGGGAGTGGTGAGCGCGGTCGCGGAGATCTCGCTGGCACCTTCTTCGAGGCTCACGAACGTGAAGACTGGGGATCTTGACTTACTTCCAGCGGAGGTTTCGAATCCCTCTTTGTCTCCTGTTCGCGCTTTGATATTGACTAAGGTCGCGCTGAAAGCGTGAGGAAGAATATTGGTCAGCGTTTTCGTTGTCTTTTACCCACATCAAAGAAAGCTTTTGGGAAACAGAAACGGGCAGGTGCGAGCTTTCCACATATGGCAAGTTCAACAGATGCCTGATTCAAAAATTTCACCGAAAATCTCTTTGGCTTTCCTTTCTCTTCCCACGCATCCACCCCACCCACCCGCAGGTTGCCTCCCGGCCTCTGCATTCCGAAGATGCCAACCAACAACGACGACCCGCGACGCCGTTGGACAACGCAACCTACGCCGACCAAAGATGGAGTCGAACGCGAACGGCGTCACCGAGGGCGACAAGCCGGCTTCACTCGGCATGGCAGCGATGGATCTCAGTTGGCTGTTTTGTTCCGCGTGAGTACCTTGGTACACGACCTGTCTCGTAATGGCTGAATTGCTGACCAAATGTAGCGAAGAGCAGCTATTGATTACTATCAAATGCGGCGAAGATGGCGACGAAAAGACTTTCACGGTCTTGAAGCCAATCCTGACGAAGCACTCAAAGTTCTTCGAAAAATGCCTTCGGAACCCGTGCAAAGAGTCGGCCTCCTCGACTATCGAGCTCCCCGAAGTGAAACCAGGCAGAATGATGCTCTACCTCACACTTGCCAATCGACAAGCGCTCATGAGAGGCAGTTCAACGAACAAGACGTTGGTCGAGCTTGACGACTTCTCGACTGCTGCTGCTCTCGAGTCTCACGTCAAATTTTATCAGCTTTGCGATTTCCTTCAGAACGATGCCCTTGCGAAGGGCGTTAGGGACATGCTTGTCCGCTACGTCAAGGATCGAGACAGAGTCCACGACGAAGACGACGCCCCCACCATCTTCAGAGTTTATGCTGGGGCTTTTGATCTTCTCGAGCCTGGTCATGTCGGCCAAGCCAAACTTCGCCGCATTTTGGTCAAGACCTTCTGTCGTTTGGCCGTTCCTTCTGTTTACTTCAGGCATTGTTCAGTTCTGTCAAACTACCCGGAATTCCTTATGGAGGTCGGCAAGCAGTACGCGCTCAATGCCATGTGGAATGATCCTTTCCTCAGGAGCACCGCATGCTTATCGATGACGAGTCAGAGACGGAGCAGTAGAAAACAGAGCCGCCGGCAACGAGGATGAGTGGCGATGACGGGGACAAGGTATGACGACCATGGACAACGAGGGTGATGGAGAGCAGTGAGGACGATGGGGTCGAGGAACAAGGGAACGAGAACAATAGGACAAGGTGTCAAGACTGTGACATATTGACGAGAGACAATGGGTTGTAGATATCGAGCATGCGGACAAATGAGACAAATGGACCATCAATTGCTAAAACCTTTCGTGAGAGATGAGATCGAAGTAGCAACCTTTTCAAGGTAACTGGATTGAGTCGAATCGGAGCAAGGTTCATTGCATTGAAATTGATTTGGCGGCATAATTGCTTGAGCTTTGGGATATTCAATGTGAAGGCGAAGCCACCGACAACATCACCATTGTAGAAGTTGGGTGTTGGGCGTCGGATGCACGCTTCTGCAGCTCAGCAGATCGCAGATGGCGTGCAGGAGCTTGGACGTGCTTTGAAAGCTTTGGCGGTGTTTGATTGGCTTGAACGAGGACGGGTGGAGAATCGCCAATCGAAGCCAACCATTCGCAAGTGTTTCCCCGCATCGGAGCTGCGACACTCTGCAGCTGGCCCTGCCACTTCCCAATTGCCCTGCCCAGCTCCAGCAGGAAAGAGCACCGGAGGAAGCTCCTCCTTGTACAGTGCTTCTCTGGGACACACACGGTCCTGCCTTCGTTTTGCGCGAGGAGAGGGCGGACTGGCTGGACTGGACGCCAGATTTGGGAGGCACCGCACCAAGGTTGAGACGGACCTGCTACACCGTTGCCCGCCCGTGTTCAGTGCTCCTGCCACCGACACCAGGGCTCTGTGCCATCGTTACATGAGGTTGCTCGCCTATTTCCCTCAAACTTCGAGGAAACGGCTCACCGGATTGGGCCATTTTCCTAACGTTGTCGTCGAACGGCTTTGGCCGGCATCTCAGCCAAGCTGTGCAGCTGTGCCAGCTCAGGTCCTCCCGTCGCGCCACCTCGTAACACTTCTTGGGATTAACCGGCTCTTAACCGGGCCAAGCTCCCGCCCTGCAACATCCAAGATGGCAAGCTGCGTGGAGCTCTCGTCACGTCAGATTGACATGACGGCCCAGCAGCTGAGAGGTTCGTCTCCACCCAGCCTGCCGCGAGGAGAACCTTGCACTGCCGGCCTCTCGCCTGCAACCTCACAGCTTCACTCTCACTGATCGAGGACCGCTCCCTGTTCGATGGCCTGGTCAGCTACTGAGTAATGGTCAGCAGCGCGGAGAAAGAGGAGGGACGGAAGCACTGGACGGGCTGTCTGCTGGACCGAGCGAGCCCAGCTGCACCCGCTGCACTGCACCACTGGACCTCACCATTAACGCACAAAACAGCCGATGGGAATGGCGTGTCCCGAACGGTGCGCGCCCTTGCCTCGCCCTCGCCCTCGCCCTCCCGCTGCTGATTCGCCCCGTGGAACCCAAGCAAGGCCCCGGGTCCTGCTCCCCAACCCCATGTTTCTGTGCGATGACCTGCTGCCACCGCTGCCGGTGCTCTGCTTTGCACCTGCAGCGCCTTAGCAGGCCCATCTGTTGTTGGGGAGGAGGAGAGCTCCATTGCTCTTGCTCCTGCTCCTGCCTATGCTCCGACTCCAACCTCACTTCTTCTTCCCTCTTCTCTCCCATTTCCTCCCACACAACTCCCATCTTGGATTTCCAGCTTTCCATCGTCAATCAACATCCCAACATCTCACCCCTACCAAATTTACGCCCTTTTACGCCCAACCGCGGCCATTGAGCACCTTTTCCTCGCCGACTGCGACCACCGTCATCGCGCACTGTGCGCCCATACCAGCAACCCCCTTACGTCATCGCAATGGATCCCAATCCTGCCCCCGGAGCTGTCCCAGCTGTCGCTGGCGTCGACAAAGGTGAGTGTTTGTCGCCAAATCGAGCTTCATATCACGGTCGCATGCAATAGATAGAGTCCGCCGAATAGCTGCGCTTTGCGCTGGCTCGATGCTACTCTTGCGCCGGCCATGCCGCTCGCCGTCGCTGTACACCCATAATGTCCGAAGACCGATGCGCTGACATTATGCTCCTCGCACCGCAGCCGAGACAAAGCCCAACGGCATAGAGGCAGTTTCTGTGCCGGAGATCGTGGAGAAGCCTGTCGAGGAGAAGCCGGCAGAAGTCAAGCCGGTCGAAGAGAAGTCAGCTGAAGAGAAAAAGGAGGAACCCGCGCCTGCCACAGAAACATCAGCCGTTCCTGCCGAGGAGCCGGCCAAGGTCGCAGAGCCTTCTGCGCTCGCCCCGCCAGCTGATGCTCCAGTCGCAAATGCTTCTGCCGCCGATGCACCAAAGCCGGCCACTGTCGAAGAGGTCCCCGACAAAGACGGGCCGGCTGCGACGACCGGCGTGGAGGCTCCCAAGGCCATTCCTACAGAGCAGCCAGCGGCCGCAGCTCCAGCTCCAGCTGCGACGACTGCGCCCGCAACCGAGACTGTTAAGGAATCAGTCGAGGAGCCCATCGCGCAGAAGCCTGCTGAGGAACCCGTAGTCGAAGACGAGCCGGCCAAGGAGCCCGTCATCGAGAAGCCCGATGCCGTTAATGGCGCGGCCTCCAAGGACGTAGAGATGACGGGCGCCCTTAACGAGGCCGAGCCCTCCGGTTCTGGAGAGCGCGAGGCGGCACCGCAGGCCAAGCCCAGTAACAAGCGCAAGGCGGATGATCTCGATGCCGTTGATGCCGCCGACGCCGCCAACGGCACCAACGGCGTGGCGGAAGCGAAGCCGGAGCCTGAGGAGAAGCCGGCCGAGAAGAAGGTCAAGACCGGGAAACCCGTCCGGCCTCCGAAGGCTACCAACGGCGCAGCCAAGAAAGAATCCCCGAAGAAGGACAAGGAGTCTCTGGGACACAAGATCTCCGAGAAGGTCAAAAAGGTCCTGCCGCCTGTCGGCCGTACCGCGCGCAAGACTCGCTCGCAGGGCCCCGCCTGAAGACCATCGCCGTTGGAATGTCACTGATTTAATTTCCTATTGTTCTTACTATGGTCCAACAGACCAGTAACACGAGACCATGATGGTCAAGGCCGGGGTTCAGGCCGGTCTGGCGGGTTTGCTCTCTTTGTCCCGCGGGTTTTGGACAGGCAAAAAGGAGGCGCGGGATTATTGTTTTTGCCTTTTCGTTCTTTGGTTATCATTTGTTCCTTCGAGTAGGCATTCGATCAAAAGGTGGAGGAGCTTGTACATATGATGATGCTTGCACATGCAGCTTTTCAATCACGAATCAATCCTTTCGATCCTTACCACTTCCGACGTTCACCCTGACTTTTAGACGACGCATGGCTTACGAAGATCATTCGCAAAAGGCCTCAACGATTCGTGGCATGGTGAAACAGCTGACTAAACGACGCACCCGATTGACCTAGCAAAAGACGTTCGTTTCTCAACATCTGTAGCTGTTCGACGGGCGGGATGTGGGATCATCAGCCCCCTACAGAAAAACATGACGTATCTCAGGGCCCTTATCTCGGTCCAGACCGCACGTTCTCCACCAAACTCCGCGTCACCGATGCCGTCGATCGGCTGCGCTGGGCTCTGGGCTGGGAGGGATTTGCAGAGGGTCGTCAGTCCTAGGGCAGCAAAGCTACTACGACTCTCTGTCCTAGGGGTTTACATAGACATGTGAGCTCGAGACAGCCGCGACATCAGGCGGCGGATTGCGCAGAGATTGAGGCAAGGACATGAGCTTGCTGGTAGGACAGGTACAGTAGCTCCGTGGCTCCCTTAGGAATGTGCAGGCCCTGAAGATCTCTTTTTTGGAGAGTGAAGGTAAGGTGCTCGGCCGCGGTCTCAGGAGCTTGCGAGACGAGACAGTCGCGCGCGAGGCAAGGCTATGGAGAAACACAATGTTTATCCGAGCATGGACGAAACGGCAAAAATGCCGAGAGAAAGTTTTTTTTTCTTGGTGTCTCTTTGGGAGGGCGAGTCCTAGATTTGGGATAATGGTCTCGAAAGGGATTAAGCTGTGAAACGGCGCTAAGTTACTTTGGGCCTGGAAGACGACGGCGGCGGCAGTGGAAGAATTGGGAATGCGCAATTCGTGTTACGAAGAGAGGCCGCTTTGGCTGTGACGTAGGGACAGGAACGCCGTGGGAAACGGGGCGGCGGCCGGCGTGAAAGCCACAGTGGAAGCACCGAGGAAGGTTTGTTGTCGCTTCGCCTTCGGTTTACCGTCAGGACACCGATTGCTCCCGTTGTGGGTTAAGCGCCGTTTTTCCGGGTTTCCGTTTCGCTCGGTGCGCGGGTTCGTAAATGGCCGTGCAACTTGTGCAAAGGTAAGGTAAGGCGTAGGCGCCAAGGGTTGGTGTGTATAAAAACTGTTCTGGAAGTTGGGGTGGTGGGCTTGGCGATGGACGGGGCGGCGGCGGGACGCTTGAGGAAGAAGGCAGAGGCTTGGTTCGGATTTGGAGTTGTTGATGATGACGGGCTGTGTCACGAGACGTGCTATATCCTGCGATGATACGTTGCTATGCTGTGCTGCTCTATCTCTCTGATGCAAGGTACTGAAGTATGCCATGCGTTGCATGCAGGGCTCTCTTCACTTTGAGTAAGGGACTAGAAGAAGAAGAAGGAACGATGCTTATTTCTGGGAGGCCAGGGAGTGGTTGAAAGAACAGAACAAACCGGAAAAGAGAGGTCTGAGCCACCTGCGTGGAGGGACGGCGTGGCTGTGTTTTCTTTTAAGCGATGGAGGTTTTCCGACGGAGGGTTTTTTCACTTGGGAGGAGAGAGAGGGTCCTTATTGCTGTTGTTAAGATGGCAGGGGAGTTGAGAGGTTTGTAAGAGCGAGAGAGGATTGGAGATAAGATGACTGGCGGTGGCATTGGCATTGGCTTCAATCCCGTCATCAGCGACCGAGTCCAATGGATGGAAACCAACTTCAACTCGTCCCCGCAAAGGGGTTCTCGGTTGCTGGGTGCCAAAGGGCCCCCAAGGAGTCCCCCTCAATGCCGCCCGCCCTGTCCCGGGGGATCTTGCTTGACATTGGAACTGCAAGCGCGACTTTTTTGTGCCTTTTGCTGGGTCCTTCCAAGGTCTTTTGTTGCGGGGGGCGCGGGCTGTGCTGGATTGCGGGTTCACCCCTATTTTCCTCTACATGACACGGGGGACGCGGGATGTGTTTTCTTCCATGCGAGAGGGTTTAGGAAGAAACGGTAACGCTGGGGTTTTTGCGTGATGCAGGTTCGGGGACGGGAGGATTTTTGACGTGATGCACACTCGCTGCATGTCACGGTTTTTTTTGTGTTGGTCGATGCGTGTGTGGAATGATGGGCGTTGCGAATTGGCGGCTTCTTCTCAGATTCCGCGGTCTTGGCATGGGACACGCGAGCATCCTTTTCTCTTTTGGGCGGGGGCTGGAATCTTCAAATGTGCAGATCTGATTGGTGTCTGGTGTTGGGAAGAGCTGCATCGATTCGTATTGATGCTGCAGTATTTCTCGCATTAAACCAGCGCATACAGCGTACGTTTGCGTGACTGTATCAAGTATAACCCGTCTTACAAGAGAACAAAAAGGACAGAAAGGATTCTGGGGGCCTCCATCTCGCCTCGTATTCAGCAGAAGCCTTCGCAGAGAGAGATGTGCAGGTGGTCTTGGAAGTGGTCAAGTGTGAAGTGTCTGTGTGGGGCCGGCCTTCTTTTGGGGGGAACGGCGTGGAATGCAGCAAAAAATGTGGTTGCAAAAATAGACACAGCCACGGGTTGGCGGTTTTGCAGGCGGCCCTGCCGATGCTAGCGGCCCACGCTGCTACGCGGCGGTCTTGCTCTCTCCTCCAGTGTTCTGTGAGCTGTTCCTCTTCCCCGAGACTTTGGCCACTGGCCAGAGCCAGCCGGTGCCGGTTCACTCTGCGGGGCCCTTGCCTTCTTCGCTTGGGATGGCAGCTGGGCTTGGGCCAATGAGAATGACGACAGAGCAGGGTCTCCCGGTGCGCGTCCGTCAATGGGAAGCCTCCGTTTTGGAAGAGACGGTAGGTACGTACCCGTTTGTGTTACTGCACTGCTTTGGCAGGACTCCCATCAGGACTGGGACGAGGTAAGCAGCTTATTGTGCGGGCTGTTCCTGCAGCTGCTGACTCTGAGACCTGCATTGCTGGATACAGCATGAGTAAAATGGACGGGTGAGAGATTTGAAAGAATTATCATTGGAGTTGTAGATGACTCCCAGTCCGAGATATCATCATTCCATCAGTCCAAGCCTTCACAAAAAAACCGAGGTCAGCAGCAGACGGGCGAGCAGCCACCACCGCCAGAAGGAGCAGTGAGTGACATGACCACCGGGCGCTCGGTACGTAGCTTTCGTCCGTCTTGATGGTGGGCCGGGACGGTGGAGCCCACGCCTCGAGACCCCCCGGTAGCGCAGAATTGCAGGGACCTGAGGCGCGCCAATCCCCTAAACTGGGTTTATTCGATTTTTTTTTTATCCGTAGCTTTTTTTTTTATTGTTGTTTTTTTGCCGGGTCGTCGTGCTTGTGCAGCGCTACCACTGGGTAGCGGTACCTAGCAGCAGCGGCAGCTCCAAGCCATGTCCCGGGTATCGGCGCACTCAGCAGTCCATCAGTCGTGTGTGCAGTGTGCAGGTCCAGTGCTGGACGGGATGGATGGCAGAAAGAAAAGACTGGGATGGCCCAGAGTGACATACGCAATCCTGTGATCTGGTCCTGGCCTCCCGCTCAACAAACTTCGTCGTCCTCCTCCAATCCCTTCGTCCCTCCTCTCCTCCTTATCCTCCTAAAGGTCCCCTACCTCGCCTCACACTCGCTTGACATCAATTTTCCGTCCATCTTTCCTCCTCTCCCTTCCGACCTCCCGACAGTCGTTTTCTCCTCACAACCGCCGCTCCACTAATCGAGACTGTAACTGCGCGGGCCCTCCCCCCGACGATCGACTCAGTCTCCCCCCCCGTGTCTCTCGCTGCCGCATTCCGCCTTGTCATTTCGAAACCCCCTCCTCTTTGATCCCGCCGACAGGAGACAGACCTTTGTGTGCTTAATATCACCGCGCGAAAGAGCAGGGAAACGACGAATCGCCCCCTATTTGCGATTTCTAGATAATCCGAGCTTGTATCACGCCTCCCCCATCCCGCACGATACGAACCGATCGATATCTTCCTCAAACGGTTACCCAAGAAATCACTTGACCTCGTGCCAAGATAATATCGCCGACGAGGGTCGTTGACGCATCTTCCGCCGAAAACATCTAGAGAACTTCCCTCATCCCCCTCGCCCCAAGGGGGCTCGACAGTCAAGATGAGCAACGACGATGCGGGCAAGAAGATCTTGGACCTGCTGGCCGACCCCTTCAGCAAACAGGTTAGAGAGCACCCCCTCCGCGGCCCCAAACGAGGCAAAGGACCTGCGTAAGGTATCCCGGGAGAAAAGCTGACGCTCACACTCTACAGTTGCAAAGTACCGCCATCTGGTCCGCCTTGGGCACATCGCTCGGCGTCACAGTCGGCATCGCCGTCACATTCTCCTTCCTGAGACCGTACAACCAGTCCGTCTACGCCCCGAAGCTCAAGCACGCCGACGAGAAGCACGCGCCCCCGCCCATTGGCAAGAAGATCTGGTCCTGGATCCCGCCATTATGGAATACAGGCGAGGCGGAGCTCGTCCACCACGTCGGCATGGACGCCACGGTCTTTCTGCGCTTCGTCCGCATGTGCATCTTCATCTTTGCCAGCATCTCCGTCTTCTGCATCGCTATCCTCATCCCCGTCTACCTGAACAACGCGGACAAGCAGGCCCTCGCGAATAGGGATTGGATCGAGGTCATCACGCCGTTGGCGGTCTGGGGCGAGAGCGCGTACTGGGCACAGGTCGCCGTGGCCTATCTGATTACGTTTACTGTGATGGGCTTTTTGTGGTGGAACTACCGCAAGGTCATGCTGCTGCGTCGCAACTACTTCCAGAGCGAGGAGTACCAGAACAGCCTGCACGCGCGCACGTTGATGGTGAGTGGGGATGAAATTGAGGGCCCAGAAAGCTTGAGAAGCTCACAATTCCTAGATGTACGATATCCCCAAGGACCGATGCTCTGACGAGGGCATCGCACGAATCGTCGACGAGGTCGTACCCGACTCCTCCTTTGCACGAACCGCTATTGCTCGCAACGTCAAGGATCTCCCCAACCTCATCGAGCAGCACGACCACACCGTCCGCAAGCTCGAGTCCGTGTTGGCAAAGTACCTCAAGAAGCCCGACCAGCTCCCCGCTGGACGCCCGATGTGCAAGCCGTCAAAGAAGGACCCGTCATTCTCCACGTATCCGAAGGGCCAAAAGGTCGACGCCATCGAGTACCTGACGCAACGTATCAAGGAGCTGGAGACAGAGATCAAGGAAGTCCGCGCCAGCGTCGACAAGCGCAGCACCATGCCCTACGGCTTCGCCAGTTACTCGGACATCGCAGAGGCGCACAACATTGCCTACGCCACCCGCAAGAAGCACCCCCGCGGCACCAAGATCAGCCTGGCGCCGAGGCCGAACGACGTCATCTGGGACAACCTGCCCCTGAGCGCCGCGAACAGGAGATGGAGACGCTTCATCAACAACGTGTGGATTGCGGTGCTGACCGTCGTCTGGATCGTGCCCAACGCTATGATTGCCATCTTTCTGATCAACTTCCAGAACCTGGGAAGCGTTTGGCCCGCCTTCAAGACCGAGCTTGCTACTAACCCGACATTCTGGGCTATCGTCCAGGGTATTGCGTCTCCTGCCATCATGTCGCTCGTCTATCTCGTGCTTCCAATGATTTTCCGCCAGCTGTCCATGAAGGCCGGAGACCAGACCAAGACTGGTCGCGAGAGGCACGTCCTGGCTAAGCTGTACGCCTTCTTCGTTTTCAACAACTTGATCGTCTTCTCTCTGTTCGGCACCATCTGGCAGCTCGTCGCTGCCGTGGTCAAGGAGACTAGCGACAACCAGGACACCTGGAAGGCGATCATCGATCAAGACATTGCGGCCGCGGTTTTTGCTGCCCTGTGCCAAGTCAGCCCCTACTGGGTTACCTGGCTTCTCCAGCGCCAATTGGGTGCCGCTATCGACCTGGCCCAACTGTGGAAGCTCGTGTACAGCTTCTTCGTGCGCAAGTTCTCGAGCCCGACCCCCCGCGAGTTGATCGAGTTAACCGCTCCCCCGACCTTCGAGTACGCTTCTTACTACAACTACTTCCTTTATTACGCAACGATTGCGCTCGCCTTCTCGGGCATCCAGCCTCTGGTTCTCCCGGCTGCCACGCTGTACTACGCCATCGACTACTGGCTGAAGAAGTACCTGCTCCTGTACACCTTCGTCACCAAGACCGAGTCTGGCGGCATGTTCTGGCGTGTGCTCTTCAACCGTTTTCTCTTTGCCGTCTTCGTGTCGCACTGCACCTTCTTCCTCGGCGCCTGGGCTCGATCCGACTGGGCTTACCACAGCGTCGCCATTGCCATCATTCCGCTGCCCATCATCCTGATCATCTTCAAGATCGTCTGTGCGCGCATGTTCGACAACAAGATCCACTACTACTCCACGACCAACGTGCGTAAGCACCCCGAGGCCGGTGTCCAGAAGGAGCAGCGTCTGCGTAGTGAGCGGTTGGCTTCGCGCTTCGGTCACCCGGCTTTGTACAAGCCTCTTATCACGCCTATGGTGCACGCCAAGGCGCAGGCTATCCTGCCTGCTGTCTACAAGGGCCGTTTGACGGACGGAAGAGAGGCCGGTCCTGGCGACATTTACAGTGTCTCTGGATACTCTGATGCATACGTGTTGGACCCGATGAGCAAGGGCCGCCCAGGAAAGTCAGCCGGTGGCGTTCCTGGCTTCGAGTTCGTTTCTGAATCTCACATGGATTTCGAGTACTACAAGAACAGGGCCGAGTTCGCGGAGGAGCATGGACAAGGCGACATCTTCGGACGCAACCCCGACATCATTCGCCCCGGCACCCCTGGCTCGATGACCGAGTACGGCTCCGACAACGGCTCGCGTCCCGGAACACCTACCGGGCGTCCTCTGCAGGGGGGTATGACCGGCAATCCTGCCAATGGCGGCTTCCAAGCGTTTACCCCGCCATCAGGCTACCAGTCGCCCAACACTGGCCGGATGTCTCCTACCGGCGGACTCCCGACACCGCAGGCGGCCTTTGCCCAGCAATCAACATACGGCGACCGGTCGCGTAGTCCCCTGTACAACATGGACAACGGCAGCGACTCGGCGCTCGTACGCAATGCCGCGGGGATGCCGATGGCTCAGCCCTCGGGCCCGACTGTAGGTGCTCTGGGCGGCGGACCGAGGGGATACAGCGGGCTCCGCCAGGACGACGCCGAGACGCCTGAGCAGGACCCATCATCCTACGACTACTTCCGCGGATCAAGGCGGCGCAACGACAACAACGGGTGGTAAACCCGCGCGATGAAGAATTAATGGGTTTTCTCTATATGTGTTTGTTTTGTGAGCGAAATAATTTAGAGCAAAGGGTCGCCTCGCGGTCCGGGACCTGGTCTCCAATGAGAGGGCATTGCATTCGGCGTTGTAAGTATGTGAACGAGGGTCAATAACCTTTGGAGAAGAAGGTTGGGCCTTGGAAATGAATGGTGGGAAAGGGCTTTGGAGATGATGGCCGGGTTTGCTTGTCGACCGGGCCGTGTGTTTCGCGTTCATTGAAAAAAATCATAATGACCAAAGATACGAGATATAGACTGAAACTGCATGGGACTTGCGGTGCTCCCAGGTCCTCGGCGACGGTGCTGAGGATTTAGATTATAGGTTTAATGAGAATCTTGACCACCATCTTCACTACGATTTGGGCCGTATGCGAATTGGTGGTGTCTGGAGCTATCGATTGAGGCTTCGTATTGAGCAGTAAGCCACAGTATGCCTACCTGAAGATGATGAGAGGGTTCACCAGCGCTGAATCCGGGTCAGCTCGCGCAATTACTTCGTTTTGATATTCGAATGCACGAATTCATTTTTGGATTACTTGATCATTGGAAGAAAGCTCTATGAATACATCACAATCGTAAGCCAATTGATCTCGGCAGACGTCGTCGTCACAGCTCCAGCGTCCCGCCCTGCAACTCCACCACCACCCCCTTGGATTCAGGGGCTGGACCGGGCTTAGTCATCCGAACCACTCAAGGTTGGCATTCCACCAACGCCAAAGGACAGCATCGCTGGAAAGCTCCCTCCTGACGCCTCCCGCAAATCACCACCACCACACCGCGCCAGCCAACTTGACCACGCTCCTTTCTCCTCGCGCCTTCGATCCCACGCGGCTTTTGCTTCTCCTGTGCTCGTGGGCTTTTCTGGTGCATCCCGAGTCTCCCTCCCGACACCGCAAAAATGGCGGCCAACAAGTACTCCGTCATCCTCCCGACCTACAACGAGCGTCACAACCTGCCCATCGTCGCTTGGTTGTTGAACCGCACCTTCACCGAGCAGTAAGCAGCCAACGTCCCTCATACCTGTCTCTCCCATACCCCCATCGATTTCGAATCGAATCGAATCGAAGAAGACAACGCCGCTAACCTCCACCCCCGCAAAACAGCAAGCTCGACTGGGAACTCATCATCGTCGACGACGGCTCCCCGGACGGCACGCAGACCGTCGCCGAGCAGCTCGTCAAGGCGTACGCCCCGCACGTCGTCCTCAAGACCCGCTCCGGCAAGCTCGGCCTCGGCACGGCCTACGTGCACGGCCTGCAGTTCGCGACGGGCAACTTCGTCATCATCATGGACGCCGACTTCTCGCACCACCCCAAGTTCATCCCGCAGATGGTCGCGCGCCAGAAGGAGGGCAACTACGACATCGTCACGGGCACGCGCTACGCGGGCGACGGCGGCGTCTACGGCTGGGACCTGAAGCGCAAGTTCGTCTCGCGCGGGGCGAACCTGTTTGCCGACACGGTGCTGCGCCCTGGAGTCAGCGATTTGACTGGCAGCTTTAGGCTGTACAAGCGAGCTGTGCTGGAGAAGGTGATTGGCAGCACGGAGAGCAAGGGGTACACGTTCCAGATGGAGATGATGGTGCGCGCCAAGGCGATGGGGTGCTCGGTGGCGGAGGTGCCGATTACGTTTGTTGATCGGATTTACGGTGATAGCAAGCTGGGCGGTGATGAGATTGTGGAGTACGCGAAGGGTGTGCTCTCGCTTTGGCTCAAGGTTTAAGGCGGGAGAGGAAGGGGGGAGGGTATGATACCGAGGTGTTTTGATGTGTGCGGATATTTGGAACGCATGCCATGGGCGTTGGGGGGAACGGGAAATCACAGAAGAGTACCGATACCTAATTATTTGCAGGACGATGGAAAAATTACACAGTTTTGTTCAGTCTGCTTCTTCGTGCTTCACATGTTGCGTCCGCCGGTCACCATGATGGTCTGCCCCGTCACATAACTAAACAGCGGACTCGCCACAGCCAACACCGCGGACGCAGCCTCCGTCGGCGAGCCGGGCCTGCGCAGCGGGATATCCGCGTGAGCCTGCTGCTCGCCACCCGCCGCCGCCGCCTTCTGCGCCTGCGGGATGCCCAGCGCAATCTTCTCACCGCCCGGCCCAACGATGAACGCGCCCTTCTCCTTGGCGTCCGTCAGCCGCGTCTTGATGTGCCCGAACGCCACGGTGTTGCTGCGCACGCCGAACGCGGGGCCCCACTCCTTCGCGATCGTCTTGGTCAGCCCCGTCACGCCGGCCTTGGCCATGGCGTAGTTGGCCTGGCCGGCGTTGCCGTGCACGCCCGAGGTCGAGCTGATGTTGACAACACACCTGTTCTCGCCGTCTTTCACGCGGAAGTACGGCGCGGCGGCCCTGACTAGACGGAAGGGCGCGGTCGAGTGCAGCGCGAGGATGGTGTCCCACTGCGCGTCGGACATTTTGTGGATGACGCCGTCCCAGGTGTAACCCGCGTTGTTGACGACGTGGTGGATCTTGCCGTTGCCGAAGGAGGCCGCCTGCGAGACGAGGGTGGCGATGTAGTCGGCCGAGAGCATGTCGCCCGGCACAGCGAGGGCGCGGCCTCCGCCGTGGGTTGAGTTGATTGCGTCGGCGACGGAGCGGGCTTTGGCGCCGTCGATGTCGGAGATGATTACTTTGGCGCCCTCGTTGGCGAAGAGGCGGGCTGTCTCGGCGCCGATGCCTTGCCCTGAGCCGGTTATAATGGCGACCTGCCCGGCGAGGAGGCCTTTGGGGTGGTTTAGGTGGGAGGCGATTTGGGAGATGCGGTCTGTCATTTTGGCGTTGGTTTCCTGTGGTTTGTGGTTTGAGAGGGGGATTTGGTGGTGGTGAAAGGCTTGGTGTTGTATATGAAGATGAGCTCACTCAGCGTTGCAGTTGGAGCTCTGAGGTGAGAGCTCACCCTGGCCTGCCGAGGTTCCCCGCGGCTTCACCCTCCCGCCCCCGGGAGGAGGGTGCGGTGGTGGGGGAGGGGTGTCGGCATTGGGTAACCAGATCGCCGGGCCTAGGCTCGAGTGTGTGAATGCTTCAACTTGCTTCAATTGAAGGTGTGTGAGTTTCTCGCAAGCTTCCTCGGGATTGAATGACCCTCATGGCTTCCACTCAGAGTGGGAAAGAGTACCCCGGATTTCGCAATTGACTCGGAAGCTGCTCTGGCCCGCTCTTGGCACCCATCGGCGATTAGATAAGATACGCAAGTGGGATGGTACCTCTAGTCTCTTGTTTTGACGACATGTCACTCCCTGCAGCCAAACACACCCCGCCATCCCGGCACAGCAACCCCCTCTGAACGGAAACCAAGATGTCGACCCGCGGCGGACGAGGTGGACGAGGCGGTCGGGGCTTCAGCAGAGGGCCCGCAGGCGGCGGTGGACGCGGCAATCGCGCACCTTCAGGGCCATGGGGGAGGTTGAAGCCCGTCGACCTGGATCCGCTTGACAGCATCGGGTTGCCGTCTAAGGGTGACACCCGGTACGTCTGCCACTTTCCTCGCCAGAACTCCAATGGCTTGCTGACAGAATGCAATGCAACAGACTGCTCGACTTCAAGACCCAGGAACGGTACTACACCAAGATCGTTGAGCGGTACATGACATTCTGCTCCGACGCAGGCGAGCGCGACGAGCTCCTCCGCCGCTTCGCCTCCCTCGACATCAAAGACACCATCTCCCCGCCCTCGCCGCGCCTCCTCCCGCCCGACGACCCCGCCAACACGAAAGCCCTCTCGGACGTGATGATGGCGCTGCGCAAGCTGCGCGAGGGCATCGTCGCCTCCAAGCGCATCGACGAGTTCGCCATCCAGGCGTACCTCTTCAACATCCGCCTGTCCGTGCTCGTCAAGCACCCGGAGTCGTACCACCCGGCCATCCTGCACGTCCTGCGCGTCATCCATCCCGCGCAGAACCTCACCAGCGTCGAGCTGCAGGAGGTCCTCGGCTACCTCGTCCTCGACGCGGCCTGCCGGCGGGGAGACCTCGCGGAGGCGTACGCGATCAGGCAGAGGTACAGGTTGAAGGATGCCAAGGTGGACGCGGTGCTGGCGGCGCTGGCGCATGATAACTTTGTGGCGTTCCGCAGGGTGCAGAGGAGCGTGGACGGGCACCGGGCCAAGTTGTTGGAGTTTGCGGACGGGGAGATGCGGACGCATGTGTTGAAGTGCTTTGGGAGGACGTATTTGGGTGTAGATCTGGAGTGGTTGGAGAGGTGCGCGGGCGAGAAGTGGGATGTGTTGACGGGGCAGCGAGAGGTCGGGTGGGAGCTTGACGGGAAGAGGGTCGTTATTCGGAAGGTTAGGGCGAAGTGAGGTTTATGGTGCATTTGATACCCCCAATGAATTCAACAGCGTTTGTCTATGTTAGAAGGCTGCGTGAGTACTTTCATGATCTTGATTTTATCTGTCTCTCCTGATTTTGAGGCGTGGTTGATCTACTCTACAAGATGTCCATCCCATAGCCGCAGTCAGGCCAGTGTGAAGATTCCTCCAAGCCCTTCATCCAAAGTCATTTTCTGCCCATCTGTCTGGCTCCTATCAGTGTTGCCATCTTCGCTGTTCCCGCAATCATCTCGGATTATTACGAATAGGCCAGAGGCGCTCAGTTCGGCTACCAGGACTCCGGGTCCCATCCTTGCGGTTCCTTTCTAATGAGTCCAATGATGAGGCACAGAGTCTTGTTCGATATCGGGACTCCTTGTTTCGATATCCATTCAATTCGTCCAAGAATAGAGCGCCGGTGCCTTTCCGTCCCTCCCCATAGAGAGTAGCTGGCATCTCTCAAGCTCTGGAACGCTTGCGCGCCGATCGTGACCCCATCGGAAACCACATCGGAAACCACATCGTCACCCGGAGGTGCAGTATCCTCGGATAGAAGCTCCATCAAATCGATATGGCCTATGTAATGGATCAATTCGTCGAGAGCCCTAACGGGGATATAGTAATTCAACAGAATGGACCAGAAGAGGTCCATCTTCTCCCGCTTTAACTTCCGATGGTGATTCTCGTCGTACTTGGCAATAGAACCAAGTATGAACCTCTCCAGCCATCCATTGTAAGCATATGTAAAGTCGTATCCCGGCAACCAGTCGGTGCACAGGTTGATCGTCATGGACATTTCACCCGGTTGCGCCATGTCATTGCGTCGTTGTGTCCACAGAGATACGCCGCTGTCCAAGAGCGCCTGCATGATCTGGTCCAAGTGATTTGTTGCCCACTTTCGTGAATAGTTTAAGAATAAAACCCATTCTGCGGCGTTTCCAAATCTGTCGAGAGGTACATTGGGGTTTGCGCCGAAAGACAAAACACACCGTACCGTTTCGACACTTTCGGTCTTCAGGGCGTAGTGCAGAACAGTAGCTCCCAGTCTGTCCTTCTGGTTGATGTCGATGTTGTGATCCAATACGAGACGGCGAAGAATCGCCTCATTCCCGTTCGCAGCTGCAGTGTGAATGGCGTGGCCAATTTCGCCTACATCATAATCCCAGTCATCATCCCTGATTTCAGAGTTGGACTCATCCGAAATATCGGCGTCAGAATCATCCAAGATATCAGCGTCAGATTCACTGTCTTCGTGGTCGGTTTCTGAGTCCGTGTCCTTGGCCTCCACCCTTTCAAGCAGACCAAGACTGTGAATCAGAGGGCCTAGTCGCTTCCTAATGGTGGCTGCTTCCTGGTTATCGACGGATCCGACACCAAAGAGTGATGCGATGCCGTTTCCGCGGGGGATCTGACTCCGGACGGGGTATCTCGTATTGGTCAACGAAGCGCCGTAGCTGATGAGCAGACGCGCGATGGATGTCTTCTTGCGACACAAGGCGAAGTGAAGCGGGGTCCAGACCCCAGTATAAGAAACCGCCTCAACCCAGGGTGGACCAACCGGCGACCTAGGAGGTGACCGCCAGTCTTCAAGGATTTCGTTGGCGATGTGGCACTTGCAGAACAACTTGCTTGGAACGTCGACGTCAACATGGAGAGTCATGAGGTACTTGACAACATGGTAGTGGCCCTCACAGACGGCCATGGCCAAAGGTGTCGCCCAGGCAAAACCAAAATCATCGCTGGCATCCTCCGACATCTCCCAACGGTATGTGACATCTTTTCCATGTGCATCCTTCGTATGTGCCCAGGAAGGAAATGGCACCCAGGTAACGGCATTCAGGTCGGCGCCGTACTCTCGTGATTTTGTTTGCTTGATGATCTATTCTACAAGTGAAGATACCCCGTTGCCTTGTCCAGGTTCCTATCTCCTAGTCTTCGACCGCTTTCCCAGATCCCAAGAGCGTTGCTATTTTGGCGTATACCTCGAAACGTCCGGGCGACGTCAGCAATGACGAAACGGACGACAGGGACGACAGGGACGACAGGGACGACAGGGACGAGAGAGACGAGAGAGACGAGAGAGACGAAGATGAAATTAGAGTATCGCTGACATCCGCAAATCCCGCTCAAGTCGCTCGCTTCCTTACGCGTATCATATCTTCGCTGCGTACGCTCACCTGACGCCTGAGCGCTCTCCACAACACCTGTTTGTATGAGTCGTCCGGCGACACTTCTCTCTGGTCATGTCATTGAGGTATCGCAGCACTTCCGGCGTTATGGTAGCGCTTTGCGTCATCAGCCATCCAAGCTTTGCGAAAGTCAACGTCAACCTTCTGCACCCCATGTCTTCGGGTCGACTCTGCATCTTTTCAAGCGCCTGGAAGCAAACTGTCCCCAAGGATAAGTGATCATCTTCAGAGGTGCGATAATGGTCCGGTATGCTATCGTCTACAGTGGCGGACAAGTCGATCGGACCTGCCGCGTTGACGATGGTGTCGAGAAGTTCGATAGTGTTGTCAAAGTTTTCGCAAATCAAAATCTGGAAGAAGAGCTCCATGACCGATGCTTTCAGATCCCAACATACCGCGGAGTCGTACTCCGTCATTGCACCCTGTAAGAATCTCTTGAAGCAGCTGTCATAGACATGCTTTCGGCTGCTACGTGGCGCAATGTCAGCCTGGGCTTGGTACAGCGCTAGGCACTTATAACTGCCCATGTTGTCTCCCGCCCAGCAGGAGACGCCGTGGTCAAGAAGCGCTGCGAGAGCTTGAGAAATGAATTCGGCTCTTGTGAGCCGGTTGCCGGCGCGCTTAAAAGTCCAAAGAGGTATGGAAGCTCTCTCGTTTATAAACACTAAGGACCTATCGTAGGACACAAGCCAAGCTGCGGCACTATCGACTACAGGATGGCAGGCGATGTCGAGATAAGTGTTGGGATCTGCACCAAGAGACGACACGTAGCGCACAGTCTTGATACTATTCGCTGCCAGACTGTAGTGGAGAGCAGTAGCACTGCCACCATCCTTGGTGTTGATGTCGAAGCCACAGTCGACAACGAGGTGACGAATCATTGATAGGTCGTTGACAGCCACGGCCGTGTGAAGAGCCGCGACGCTGTCTGCGTGGGCCTCCCTCCCGCCGTAGCCATCACGAAAGACCTCTTCTTCATGATCATTGAACAATGGCCCCGATGTTCCAACACTGCAGATGAGTGTACCGAGACGGTCGCGGATCGATGCCGATTTCTCGGGTTTGGTGAGATTGAGACCGAAGAGCGAAGCGATGCCGTTGTCCCGTGGAATCTGGTCGCGTAAAGGATAGCGCGTGGTGTCCAATGATGCTCCTTGAGAAATAAACAAGCGAGCAACGGAGCATTTCCTGCGGCAGATGGCATAATGAAGCGGGGTCCAAACTCCTGACGCGATGGCCATTCCATCCCATCGTTCTGGGACCCAATCTATATCCAACCCGGCCACAATTTCGCCCATGGATAGACAGCCGCAGAGAAGCTTGCCCGGAACGTCGACATCAACTCCGATGGAAAAGAGGTATTTGACAACGTCGTAGTGGCCTTCGCACACAGCCGTGTGAAGGGGCGTTGCCCAGCAGATGCCCCAGCTTGTGTCTTTGCATTCCTCTTCATTTCGCAAGTCCGTGCCAAAGTCGCCGCCGGGGGACCAGTTTGGAATTGGAACCCAGCTGACAGAGTTCAGATCTGCCCCATACTCGACGGCTTTCTTCAAGGTGTCCAGGTTACCATCTCCAGCGGCCAGAGTGGTGATGGCGTTATTCTCGGTTTCAATCGCGGCTCGGTAAAGGAGAGGCTCAAAGATATTGTGGAAGCGACGATTGAGTCGAATCAGGCTGCTGAAAAGATGCTGACGGGTTTTGCTTTTGACATTGTCGCTGTTGTGGTGGCCATCGCTAACGCCATCGGTGCTGTCGTTGCTGTCGCTGTCGCTGTCGCGGTTGTTGTTGTCATTGGTGGCATGCTCCACAAGTAGCAGGAGTACCTCGACAGGCAGGTCTTGGAGTCTTGCAACAGACATCTTGGGCTCAGTTTCGAAGACACGAGACAATCCGGCCCTACGGAAAGTTAGTGAGGCTTGTTTTGAGAAGAGGACTGACAGAAGTCATGTATGACACCGGGAGGCAGCGACGGCAGCAAGGACGACAGCAAGAGTATTGACGACGACGACCGAAGACGACGACGACCGAAGACGACGACAGACAACAACAACAGTGACACTTGCAATGACGACCAATACTGCCGCCGATATCCAGGGTTGGATCGAAATATTTTTCAGAATAGCTTGCCTACCTTGGTATTTATTGACTTCTGTGAGATGAGTTTTGCCAGAGGGTAGAGGTGTTCTTTCGTGAGGAGTCGCGAGGTTGTTGCCAGCTGGCTTTCGGGTGTTGTAAAAGCGAGTGTGGAAGTGAGGGTGAAAAGAACTGGGATTCTGAGCGTTGCGAGAAGACTCGAGTAGGCGCTACTGAAAATCCACTTCACGTCCTCTCTAACATCCACAGGCTCCATTCTGCTTGGAAATGGAAAGAGCAACCAATACGTACTTCTGGCTTTGGAAAACAGAAGAGCCGAGACTTTGAGGAATGCCCATGCTGCGATGATAACCTCCAGCAAAGACCTTCTCACATTTTTCGGGGTCACTGCTCCGACTGCCGCCAAAAAGCACAATATGGAGGTTTCCTTGCAGGCCCCTATTTTCCTGTGCTAGAGCAACGAATTTTCCTGTGCTCGCTATCGTTCTCTGCGGCGAATTCGCTATTATCGGTACTCCTGTCGTTGCTGCTATTGTAAGTACTATTGTTACTATTATTATTGTCGTCTCTCTTCGTCGTCTGTCGTCGTTGTCCTTATTCAAGTTACCCATCACACACGAAATGCAGTCTTTTAGACACATGAAAAAATTCTGCTTTGCATCTTTGTTGTACATCTATGGCTTTGGCGGAGTGGCGCCGTGATCCAGAAGCCAGTCAATCATGTCCCTCGCCCTCTTCAGTCTTCTTTGTTTCCAATCAGTTTGAACCATTGAATCAGTGACGTTGACCCATTCGTTCAAATCCTGAATCAGTAATGTTCCAAGTTCGTTTGCAGGCTCGACCTGGCCCTCTCCGAGCCTTCTCCAGACAGGCGTATTGGGAAAGACGACTTTCTTCATATCAAGCTTTTGTGAATCACCGTAAAACAACGCCCTTAAGGAACCGGTCGCGTCCAAGATCATGTCAAGGACGTCTGGCCCGCTCGTAAGACTTGTCGCGTTGATCGCAAAGCAGAGTAAGAGCTCTTCCTCCAGGTTGCCGGCGTTGCTCAAGTCGCATGTAAGGATGGCACCTTGCAAGAACTGGGAAATCCATTTGTTGTACTCTGGCTCCATAAGCTCATCATTGTAGCAGCCGAAGTCAAAAATGGAGCTTATGACCATAGTCTTGCCGGAACCCTCGTCGACCTTCCAAAACGAATCTCCTCGTTCGGCGATGTGGGAAAGAGCACGACTGATGACCTCCGTTTTGCCTGGGCAATAGTTGGCCGCCCACTCAACCACACTCACGATGGAACTTCCGTTCATATTGCGTACCGCAAACTCAATCGGCGTGGCAGTATCGGCTCCAAGACCGACGACGAGCTTGCACATGTCGGTATCGGACTCGCTGAGTGCGTAGTGCAAGACATTTCCGTTGGATCCGTCAAAGGTGTTGATATCGGTTCCCTTAGCAATGAGATAGCGAAGAATCTCCCTCTGCCCCGACGCAGCCGCACTGTGAGCAGCATCCATGCGATTGTGGTCTTCGACTTCTTCCAGGGCCATTATGGTCCCGCGATGGTCGAGATCGTCGTCCGAGCTATCCTCGATGTCGACTGATCCAAGGTGCGTCATGCGGGTGAGAAGGTCACATGATTTCGAGAAAAACAGTGTCGCCACACCATGAGACCGCAGAATATCCATCCTTCGATTGTATCGAATGCACAGGGAAGCACCGCGGGAGACGAGAAAACGGGCGATTGACTGATTGCCACGGCAAATGGCGAGATGAAGCGGTGTCCAGGTACCGGCAACATGCGGCACGTAATCCAAATCAATCCATGATTGCCAAGCATCTGACGAGTTGGCGTAATACATGTGCATCTCGTGAAGGCTCAGGCAACCACAAAGGAGCTTTCCTGGAACATCGATATCAACGCCCTCGGCAAGAAGCCACTTCACGACGTCATAATGCCCATACGCGGCTGCCACATGAAGCGGAGTTGCCCAGCAAACTCAACATCCTGTCTTGGGGGCTGTCGATTGAATCTCCTCTGGCTTCGCCCAGGTCGGAACGGGTACCCAGTAGACTCGGTTCATGTCGGCCCCGAAGGAAGCGGCCATCTTGAGGGTGTCAAGGTTTCCATCGCGAGCGGCGAGAACCGTGATGTCGGGTGCTTCATCCTTGACAGATTGCGCGTAAAGGGTCGAATTAATGACGTCGTAGAGGCGCTTGTCGGCCAGGGCGAGGGCATGCAGGGCAGCTTGCGGGAGCAAGTCTGTGATAGCCAGGAGAATCTCCGGTGGCATTGTCGTGAATCTTGTCGTCATCTTGAGTGTATTCGATCGGTGTACCTGAAAGGGGAAAGTTAATGCCTAGCTTGAAGAAAGCTTCATGGGTTCTACAGAAATTTACTTACTGTGAGTTTGAAAGGGAAAAGTGGTGAAGGGAAAGTGGTGAAAGAGAAGAAGTCGCGAGAGAGGTTTCTGGAGGATTGGCTTTGCGGTGGCAACGGAGGGAAAGCGCTCTCCACTGCCGCCCAGGAAGGTAAGGTAGTTCTGTAATTAAAAGGGAAAGAGCTGATCAACTCAGGCAAAGCAGCAAGAGGCCGCTAGAACGTAGTTGCCAGATGAACTGCCAAGGACGACGGATGAGGGTAAGGATGGTGGAAAAAGGTAAGAACGATGGAGAAAATTAGGACGACAGAGACTCTGAAATCATAGGCGTCGGGGAAAATGCGAAGCCGTTCAAGTGACCGTAGATTACATTATTTGTCCAGAATGACTCTGATGTTGTGCTTGTGATTGCGTTCGCATTGAGTCGTTACTTTTGCTCTCGTGCCTATGGCTCTTCCCACCATCTCTGCCTTTCGTTTACTTCTGTTACCAGATCACACTATTTCTCGCCCATTGTGTCTAGCATTGCAGACACCCTACTGGGCAGAACCATCTCTCTCATCACCTTTGCAGTATCTCTACCCCAGTACGTAATCTTCCGGACGAGGTTGACATACGTCCTCACAGCGTGTTGTGTCTCGCTTTCGCTCAATTCCCAAGCACCGTGCTCCCCAAGAATCCTCATAATGTCCGCAACACCCGAGACAACCTCAAGATTTGAGAGATCCCACCCGTCACGGGCGTTGAGATTACTCAGGAAACAAGGCAGGGCAGCGAAGTCAGCCGCGCGATGAAATTTGTCGATTGGGTCTGCCCCATGCCTGAGAATCCAGGCCACCTTGTCCCGCGCCGCGATGTCGCCTGCATAATCGTACGGATCGAGGCTGTATTCTGTCAATATCATGTGAAGTGCCACCGTGCCAAGTTTGCCAGCATAGTTCGTCGCTTTGACGTCCCTCGGGGGCAAGTCGCCATCGATTAGCTCAGTTAGGTCGAGGGAGTCGTTAGACTGCAAGATCATATCGAGAGAACCTGCTCCACAACTGCTGTCACCAATCACATGCCAGAAAAGCGCCATAATCTCCTTCTTGAGATCGTTGAACGCCTCGGTGGGCTGGTAGGTAGCGATTGCTCCTTGCAACAGCTGGGAGACCCAGCCGCGTTCCGCGAAATCTTTGAACGGGTTGCGAATGTACTTGGCTATGACGTTGATGGCCATAGACTTGGCGCGACTGAACTCGAATTTGACATCTTCACCTTCCGTGTGACTGCTCTCTTCATCGAGCCAGAACACGGAATCGCCTCCACGTTCGGCGAGCATGACGATAACGGCATCAAGGTAGTGGGGACTGTTACAGCTGGAAAACTGAGCCACCCACTGGCAAATGCCCTCCACGCGGTGCTTGTTATGCATTCGATCCACAATGTAAACTGATGCAGAGGGGTTCGTCTGGAGTGTAAGAGCGTATTGGACCATTTCCAAGCTCCTGCTTTCCACGGCATGGTACAAGATGTTCGCCCCGCACCCATTTGCGGTGTCAACGCTGATCCCAAGATCTACCAAGTGGCGGAGAACCTCGGGCTCATTCGAAAAGGCGGCATAGTGGATCGCCGACATGTTGTATTGTAGGCATAGCCTCTGGGATTGCTCTCTGGTGAGTTCATTCTTTTTGCGGCCTTTTCCCTTCCCGCCTGAGTCTGGATTGACTCCCAGGTGGTACGTTAGGAGGTCACCGAGACTTTGTCGGATCTCAGAAGCTGACTGGCAAGGGCCCAAACCGAACAATTTGTCAATGCCGTGTGTGCGTGGGACGTCTTTGCTCCAAGGGTACCGAACTTCCATGGAGGCACCATTGTCGACAAGAAAAAGAGCAATCTTCTGGTAGCTGCGGCAGATGGCGTAGTGCAATGGGGTCCAGGCTCCCGAATGCAGGATTGACCTTCCAGATCCTTCGGCTAATATTTCGCTGAAAGAAGAGCAGGGGCATAGCAGCTTTCCCGGCACGTCGAGATTAACGCCTTGTGAAAGCAGCCACTCGACCATGTCGTAATGTCCCTCTGCAGCGGCCAAGTGGAGAGGAGTAGCCCAGCAATATCCGATGTCGCGATCGTTGGGAAGTACAGAACCTTCTCGAGCTCCATGGATGGAGGTGAATCCGAAACGCTGAAAGATAGGGTACTCGAAATCTGCGCAGTCAGAGTCGTCGCTATCCGAACAGTCAGGGTCCTCATCGACGCCATCCCAACAGAGTAGGGACCAAGAAGGCGCAGGAACCCAGTAGACACGATTGAGGTCGGCGCCGAAGGAGGCTGCGACCTTGAGGGTATCAAGCTTTCCATCTCGTGCGGTAACCGAGAGGAAGTGCGGTGTATTGATGGAAGCTCTGTACAATGATGGGTTGATGATTTGGCGGAGCCGTTTGCTAGCCTGACAAAGACTGTTCATCGATGACTGAGGAAGTTCCTCCGCGATCGCAAGCACGATCTCTGGTGGAATAATCTCCAATGGAGACGTCGCCGGCTTCAGCAGTTTCATCGTTCCGAGTCGAGAAGTGCTTGTGAGGGTGGGCGCTGCGCTTTACCCTGCGGGCGTTAGATGGGCTTCCGAAAGAATAGCCAGAAAAAACTTACGATTCTGTTGGTATAAGAGAAGGCCAAGGACGACGGCAAGGACGACGGCAAGGACGACGTCAAGGGCGACGTCAAGGACGACGGAAAGGATGACGGAGACAGTCAAGGACGACGGAAAGAATCAAGGAAGATTGGGGAAAGGTGAGGATGTTGGGGATGGGCAAGAACGATGCGATGGAAAGCGAAATTCATACTTTGAAGTTGAAGAATATTCCATCGTGATTGTGAGTGGGTGCCTTAAATTTCAGCCTCGGACGTAGAACGAGCCAAAGCGAGCCATACCAAGATTCTTTATTCAAAAATTGGCGACCGTTTCTGCCTTGTTGAATTCCAGTCGGGAAGGCACTCCAACTTCTACTCTCACGGAACGCTACAAGCTCAGTGATGCTGGATCCATCTATCATGAGAGATCCTGAAGTGATGTCTCACTGCGTGGAAGCCCTGCGAAATGGCAACACACGTGACTTTTCTGGACACACAGTGACAATGACAGCTCTTGAAACCGCCGCTTTGCATGGCACAAAGTCACTGGTTACCCATCTTGTGCAAGCTCGCGAGATGGACATCAACGAGAGCCATTTCTATTGGGATGCGTACCAGCCCATACATTACGCCGTTCTCTCTCCAGATGAGGCGATGATTAAACACCTTGCTTCGCTGGGTGCCGATCTGGACGGGACTGATGCGAGTTGGGTTGACGTGAAAGACACTCCCATCTATTTCGCGATTCTCCACAGAGAGTTGAAGGGACTTTTCAAACTGCTTGAGTTGGGCGCAAAGACCTGGCTTGATGACGGACAGAAAAGAAAAGCAATATTGAGCCATTACGATCTTTTGGACATCATCCATTCAGTTGGGAGCGCAGAGCAGGTCACGGCAATTATGGTGAAGTTAATCGACAAGACTTTGCAAGATTATGCAACAGACAGCACTGGATGCCTTCAAATCGAGAGCGAAATACAGCGTGCCCTCAAAGCCCTGGCGCAAGTGGCCCTAGAAGACTGGAACCCATCGAATAAATTCTCCAAAACCGCCAAAAGACTTCTTCGAAATGTGCTTGGAGCACGACGAACAACACATCACCCCACAATCTAGCCAACCATTATCACGGCAGAGAGTTGACGAGATTCGCAAAGAAAGTTTTGTACTGGAAGTACGACTTGAGCGGGGAGGAGGAAGAGGAAATCAGGCGGTAGATACCAACGACAGCCGTTGACACCAGAGCAACAATGACGCGTGTAAGGATATAAGTCCGGGCGGACGAGCGTCGCCGAAAAGAGGCGGGAAATACGTATATCCTCAAGCGTAAAGTGAGGAGGAGATAGGGGCACAATGAACAAATATCATTCAATATTCTGAGGTAGCCAAATGGACCTAACAGAGCAGTTAGATCTGGCCGTGGATGCAAGCATCGTCTTACGAGCATCAAGCAGAATATTGCCGGTCTCATAGCTGATTCCCTCGTGATATCCACATCCAACTTCGCTGTGTCTCGCTCTCTACAGGGACCATAGTGTGCATCTGAAAGAGAAGACAGTGCTCAGAAATCCGATATTAGCAACCTTTGAGTGTCAGAATCCTCAAGGAGTTCTGAGGGAGATTCCCAAATGCATTGCTAACGCGAGCCGTATTTGGTTGCTTCAGAGTGCAATCTGGGCTAGGTTGTGCGTACTTAAGGGCATTTTACATTGAAATCTGGCGGCAAACCTTTGCATGTCTCACATTACACAGCTAGCGCCTAGCATCATCGATGACTACGTTCAGATTACGATTCCAAGTGACATCTGTCTCATCAGACCTACTCGAGAGACAATTCATGCCTTGGAGCCTTGGCACCACCTCCGACCGAGCTTTGCAGGATCAAAAAAGAGACCAGTTTGCAGTCACCTTCACAAGAATGATCTTCTCCTGGACGCACAAAGAGGCGAGAGGGAGAGGACATCAGAGACCCATAAGGAGTCTGGTGAGGCTTCAGAGATGGATCGCGATTCCAGCGGCTCTCATCCAATCGCAAGCAGCGACACATCATCGCACGCCTCCAAGAGCCATATTTCACGTTCTTCTTTGAGCAGATAATCCACTTCCACCGACCTCGTTCCCCGGAGACTTTCTCTAGAGACGGAGGATTTGCGGAGAACGAGTCTGTGTTCCCCCCACCAACTCATCCTCCCAAATCAAAATCCAAGACATGCAGGGCTGATGGCCCCCAATGAGATCCCTGAAGTGACACTCCCCCGCCCCCATTTATCAAGTTCTTACGACACTACCCGAGCAGCGTTTGCATCGGCTCCCCTTGCCACGATGATTTCACGCGACACCTTACCCCGCTGTTCGCTCGCCTCTCCTTTCCCTCCCCCCCAGTTTACAACAGGCGTTCTATTACCGTAGATTAAGTAGGATTTGAGCTGCGTTAGCGCTTAGGACCGGGCCGCGTGTCGATCGGTCTGGATCGGTCAGGTTTGGGGCGTTGTCTTAGACTGCGCGACGATCTCCTCCCCATTCACCATTGGTTGCCTTGCGCGGCCCCCAATCCTCATGGCCAGTAACCATACTCGAAACTCCCTCACTGCGGGATTTGATGGTTAGGCAGCTAACGAAGGATGCTGGTGTGGGACCCCTTGACGATACTCCCCGATGACAGCCACCTGTGGCGTCTCCACGTTTGCAAGATAAGTACCGTACAAGTCAAGACCCAAGACGTCCGGGGTGTCTCTTCGGAGCCGAGCCATCGGTGTTGGTTTTAGGCTTATTTCGTGGTGGGGGAGGGTGAGATGGAGAGACACTCACGATGCTTTTGCTAGAGGATGTGCCGCCTACCGACGTAAAGGGTTATCTCATCGTTAGACTGACATTAAGCTTTAACGTCAAAGGTACAAACGGCCATTAGCTTTCCAGGTTTCAACGAGCTGTTCATGCTACATGAGGAAGAACCGAGGAGCTCAATGTTCATCAACCCCACATTGACGTCCGCGAGGTGCAAAGGCATCCCGATCGCGTATGCACAGCGAAGTAGGTGATGGAAAAAGCGAGTAAGAGTCCATCAGACTGATGACTCCCTTGACTAAGTTGCCAGGAGATACCTGGTTCTTCAAGGGATAGACATGCTGCCTGCCCTTTCTCCCACGACCATCACCTCGGCCAAGCCCACACTGGTGGTGGGTGAAGGACACATCCATCTGAGAAATTCTTGAAACCAGCCTCATCCAATGTTGGGCTGTCGGCTCTTCCGATGAAGTCACTGGCAGCAATGATGGGTTGAACTGGCATGACTTTTCTGTCTTCGACACCCATCCCAGAGGGCGATCCCGCTGCACGTGTGAGTCTGACGAATAGGAGCAGCGCTCCGTGCAGTAGCAGGACATGCAGGCGCAAGCGTGTCATCGGAGGCGCCTACCACTCACAGGCTTCAATTCTGTGAGAAGCTCAACGCAAAACATACGATGGCAAGACATGCAGTACTGAGCATGCCGGTATTAAAGCAAACGGGCGTCATCGAGTGCAGTAGTTCATCGTGAAGCATGGCATCGGGAAAAACGTGAGTGAAGCCTGTGATCGGAGCACCTCGTCCGTTGAGGAGGACTGGAACGGCTGTAACGATCGACACAGACAAGGAAATACCAAGACATACAGGATTCGAGCCCAACATTTGGGGGCCTTTTTCCTACCCACATACCGGATTCATCATGCATTCGAAACGATCGAGGCAGTGATTGAGAGCGAGACACGCAGTTTGATGCCTGACATCGTGGCTGTTCAACCAGCCGATGGGTAACACCGTCGGACAAGATCACCACTACGGACGAAAGACGTACAGGCTCAAGTACTACCTAACACGGCATGCCGACACATGATGCTTGATGCCTGTCAGACAATGCCGTTGTCAACCAGATGGCAGAGGGCCTCACCCTTTGTCGGATGTGACAGTCCTCCTGCCAAGTCACGAGCCACCCAACCACCTACCACGAGATACTCTCACCTCTCGACACGATCGCCGCACCGGGTTATCACGACATGTAGTTTGATGCCCAAGATCGGACCAAGATGCCTGTCAGTCGTTTCTTTCGTCGATGGCGAGACTCTAGGGGGAAGCTCTCGCCCCGTTTTGAGATTGCCGTCGACGGGCGCCTAACGACGAAGCTGGATGCCTGTCTTCCGATACCCTCGTCGGATGGCGATGGCGAGAGTAGTCGCCTCCTCAGATGTTGCAGTAGTCCATCGTGACAAGTGATATTCATCGCCTCCTGAATACCAGACCCAGCCATCGAGATGGATATTTATATGGGAGGAACTACTCACTGGAAAGGCTGTCATTCCATTCGGATCATCATCGCAATCTCATCCTCAACACCATCAACGCACTCTTTGAGTCTCTATCTTCTTCAAGATATCCTTCAGCCATCTCAACCATGACTGCTCCGACCTCCCACAACCCGGTGAAGCAGGCCGTTGACGCGGTACATGCCACCCAGGTGACCCCAGCCAAGAGAGGCTACCCGTACAATTTGCCCTCTCGCAACCTCATCGTGGTCGTTCTCGGCGAGTTCTGTGGAACATTCATGTTCCTCCTACTCTCCTTCATCGGAGCGCAGACCGCCCTCGTCACCAACTCTCCCGATGACTCCTCCGCTCCTCTCTCTCCGGCCAGCTTGATGTACATCGCTTCTTCCTTCGGTACTGCCATTGCCGTCAATGTGTGGATCTTCTACCGCGTTAGTGGTGGCATGTTCAACCCTGCGGTTTGTCTCCCCAACCCCTCTCAACGTCCTCCCCCCTCATCATACTAACACCCATCCAGGTCACTCTAGGTCTTCTGCTCGTCGGTGCCGTGAAGCCCCTCGCAGGGCTCTGCATTATCCCCGCCCAGCTCGCAGCCAGCATCGCCGCCTCCGCCGTCGTCTACGGGGTCCTCCCCGGGCCCCTCCTGGTCAACAACACGCTTGGCAACGGCGCCACCATCGCCCAGGGTTTCTTCATCGAGATGCTGCTCACCGCCCAACTGGTCCTGACGGTGTACTTCCTCGCCGTCGAGAAGCACCGCGCGACCTTTCTGGCCCCCATCGGCGTCGGCATCTCGGTGTTCATCGCGCACATCACCGCCACAAACTGGACCGGGACATCGATCAACCCTGCTCGCTCCTTCGGACCTGCCGTCATCGCCGGCTTTGTCAACTACCACTGGATCTACTGGATCGGCCCCTTCGCCGGTGTCATCCTGTCCTTCCTAGTCTACGCCATGTTCAAGTGGCTCGAGTACCAGACGGCGAACCCCGGACAGGACGATGACATGGAGAAGGCCCAGAAGCCCGTGGACGAGCGACCTCCGTTGGTTCCCAGGGACTCTGGCTTTGAGGTGGCCTCGCCTTTGGAGGGCGGCCACGGCCAGCCATGAATATTATGATCACAAGAGCATCACAATGGCTTGTCCGGGCTGACAGCTTACATTGTGTAACACAACCAAGGTAGAAGGGAATGGACATGTGCCATTCACCTGCTAATCGTAACGACAAATATTTGCTACATAGATTGTACGCTTTGAAATATGGGGATGGGTACTTGAGAAGGGGGACAGGACGGTGGTTCGGGTTGCAATTTATTCGCTGTTATATCCATGTCATAGAAATCTCAACCAATCATGCATTTCGATTCATCGAAGATCGTGACCGATTTAGTGTCACCTCAAAATGGGATGACATGCAGGGCACTAATTGCCTAGTTCAAAAAACGGCTCGTTACCAGAGCCATGTTTGAGAGCTTGTGATACGCTGGCTTGAGCCAATGATCGGGCTTTGGCAACGTTTTTGGCCGTTGATGCAAGCTGTGCAACATCCGACAGGATCTATATTGCTTCCGATATGACTTAACACGTGGCGAGGCGTTGCCAATAATACTGCAGGCATCAGATGCAAGCTTCCCGCACCATCGTTCGTTCTTGTGCGTTACCACATACGGCTGTGCAAGCTTGCAAGCATAGAAGAACCTCCAATTTACTCCGTGTCTGAACGATCCACTTCTATCCTACTAATTAATTCTATCATCTCTTTTGACTTCCACGTTTCTCGTACCTCCTTTGGCATTACTTCTATCACGGAGTTTTCCCACCTCTTCCCCGCTTCTGCGAGGTCTGAGACTGCTACGTAAAACCTTTCCAGGACAAAAAGCTTCTTCTCTATGCTCGTTTTGCCAAGGGGGAACCATTCACCTGCCTGTCCAAGAGTTCTGATGGCAGGGCATATATCCAGCTCTGTAAAGGATGCTACAACAAGGTCTGATCCATCAGCCAACCGCTTCACTGACTTTGCCATCCTGTCGAACAAGCAAGTCAACGGGGATAAACTCGCGTTGTTCCAGACCAGTTCAGATCTTTTTCCAGGTGTATTCAGGAGATATTCGAATCTGCGGCTGAAGATATGCCGGTGTTGAATCGATTTCAGAGGAAATTCGATGGCAACCAGGCATAAGGCTAACTGTCGGAGAGTGCAGCGGCTTTCGTTTACACGATTCCTGCATACAGTAATCATGAATTTGTAACTAAGACCGTGCAGCAGATGTAAATCCTCAGCAACCATTTCCGGTATCAGTTCCATGTCAAGACTGATACTGCTGGTCTCGAGAAGGAAGTGCAGATCTGCATCCGAGAGACTTGCTGCGGGGCAAGCGTACAACAAGGCGATCGCGAGCTCCATGTCGAGGTCTGGAAATCCTGCGCCTGGGACATGAGTCTCCCGGGTGCGTCGAATGATTGTTGGAATAGTTTTCCGGAAGATTTCTGATGCGTTTGAGAAGTTTTGATGTTCCAATTCGAGGTTGGAGTTCAATGAAGATGTTATCGTCTTTAGCCTGGGCCGTTTTATCCGCTCGGAATCCTCAAACCAAGGCGAACCTTTAACGGCAAGAATTTGCATTGCCAGATAAGGTTGCTGGAAGGTACTTGCCCAGTCAAATGCATCGCCACAGACTTGGACCCGATGATCCGGATTTGCTCCTAAAGACACAAGGTAGTTTGCCGTGGCTGCGTCTGAGGCAGCGATTGCATAGTGAAGAGGCGTTGAATCCGACCGGTCCTTGATATCAACATCCATGCCATGATTGTTGATTAGATCCGATAGCAAAGTGTGATTTCCGGCATACGCGGCAACATGAAGTGCCGAGGTGGCCTGTATATAGAAACGATAATCATCGAGTGATAGTTCAAGTGATTCGGTTCGCATCTCGTCTATGTCACTCAGTGCCCGGGTGGCCCACGAAAGAGACTTGGCGGACTCGGGCGGGACAACCAATTCCGTAGAACAAGCACCGGCGGCGAGCAGAAGGCGTGCAACTGACGTCTGTGTATGACATATCGCGTAGTGCAGCGGTGTCCACGCAGGAAATTCGCACAACTGCGGGTCGTTTTCCCCAAGTGGGGGGACCGGCCGATGGAGAATAGGGAGGCATCCGCAGATATGTCGCCCAGGATTCTCGAGGTTAACGCCTTGCGCTATGAGCCACTCAACGATTTCGTATCGGCCTTGCATGACTGCAACGTGTAGCGGAGCAGCCCAAGCCCAGTCGTGCTCTTTGTCTTTTCATCAATGTCCGGGCCCCGGTCAATATGGTGGGCTCTATCCCAAATACCCAGCACCTGGTCGCAGAAGGGTTGAGGAAAGGCTACGTCCAGGTCCGCGCCGTACGCCGCTGCGACCTTCAAAGTATCCATGTTCCCAGCCTTCACAGCGCCGAGGGTGAGAGGGTACAGATTCTCCTCCATGGCGGTGCGATAGAGCTCCCGGTTGATGAGGCTGTGCAGTCGACGGTTGGTGCGCACCAACGCGGCCAAGTCGCGTCGCTCGCTGAATTGCGCGACTTGTAGCCACGTCTCGGCCGGAAGAGCCATAGCTCCAGCCATGTTCTGTGCTGTTGATCAGTATCTCATTGCTTGATCGGATGGTCGCCCCGGCTGTCACTCACGCTGTAAAGGTAGGTATCTTGTGATGAGCGTCGAAGATGGTATGAGAAACAGACAATCTTAGCGCGAGGTGCACAGGGACAGAGAAGCTTGTCAGGGGTCTGCCATCTGGCAGACACTCGGCATCGCCTGGCAGCGAGGGGTCAGGCCATTCTTGTCAGTACCTACCTTAGGTCTCGCTGTTGGCGGTCTTCCTCAGCATCACTTTTGGTTTCGCATTCTACTGTTACTTGTAATAAATGATTACTTGTGCACTTGTTAACGCTAGACAGATGCTCAGGAGATTAAGACTGTATGAGGAAGATTTTCGACTCAACACCTGTCGATGGTACGATGACAAGATTCAGATTGACGATTTTGGTCAAGAAGAACAGACTCAGACGCTCTCAATTCACTGTTGCTCAGCCTGTTGGCAGATAGGTACCTAGTAGTCTGGATGCTGTTGCCCTGTGTTCGACAATCTCCAACAACACCCAGTCACCGGTCATGAGAGCCGGCACGGCGACCAGAGACGCCCCACTCTGAATCCTGACCCGAGGATGCAAGCACTAAGAGAGAATAAAAGATGTTGGTTCCTCTTCGCAGCTGTTTGGAGTTGCGTCTTAAACCTGCGCGAAACTGAGTTCAGGGTTGGATCACGACGGCCCGAAACAGTTCTAACGCGAGCCTAGAGGATTTGAGACTTCCTGGAAAGGACTTTGAATATGTGGCTCGATTACGGTGGTGTTTCAAGACTATCTACATTACGATCACCTGGGACGTTACTCGGGATCAAGTTTGGCCCCGAAACTAAGTCCACAGTCGTGATTTGACCTCATGAGATTACGGCTACAGTGTCTTTAAATTAAATCTAGTCATGACTCCTCAACTCCCCTTGGTTTCAGTACATAACTCAAAGTATCGTTCAACCTATTCAATACTAGATTCCGCGGAGGGCAGTAGATGCCGAAATTTACGCCATGTACATTCCACAATCCTGCTCAAACTGAGATACCGCCCTTGTCAGCGCATCGTGGACACTAAAGCTTCTAGCTCTCATGTCATGAGGAAACAGACGATCTAGGGCATATCCAAATTCCCTTTTCAGATTTTTGGCTGTATGTTCATTTCGCTGTAGTGACCAAGCGCCTCGGTCTCGGAGAAGAACAATGGTACGTGCGATATCGCGAAGCGGGTTTTGTTCCCAGTTGATAGGTGGCTCATTAAGGTGCGCAACCCAGCTTTTGTCAATCTGTTTCAGCAGAATTGCGAGAATAGAGATCTCGACACCTCCTTGCAACTCTATAGTTGGGGCCGCACCCTTGTCGAGAAGCCAACGAACAGTAGTATATGCGTTATAATGGGGTCGTGCGACCCTTATCGTCAAACACAGCGCCAATGACGCAAGTGAATTTTTTGATGTGTCGAAGTTTACCAGTTCCCAATCTTTACTGGCTGTGGTGACCCTCTTGATTTTATGTGGCGGCAGACTGAGTTGCAATTGCAATGCCTTATTCATGGGCGTGCTTCCAAGCTCCAGCTCTCCCTCATCAATGAAGGCTTCAAGGTCTTGTGTACTGAAAGCGAGAGACTGGCAGGCTCGGAAAAACGTAGCCTGAATCTCTTCCTCGGCGAGACGAAATTCGAAAGCAGCCCAGTTGCTCAAACTTCGTCCGCGTTCTTGTTGTCGCGTGAGTCGGAGAAAAAGGCGGAGATCCAGAGGAACAGCGTTGACATCGTGATAGCAGATGATGTTCTTCAGAGAAGATTCAATGGGTCCAGACCTAAGCCTTGGATTCCACACCGAAGCCCCGTGCTCGAGGAGTATGCTTGCCATTCTTGGGTCATATCGAAGAGCAAAGTCAAGCGCGCCCCAACGCATGCCGCCCGTTGGCACGCTATGCTGGAAATGATTCTGCTGACAATCTGGGTCCGCACCCAATGATAGAAGATGACGAACCATCATTTCGTCCTTTTCGATGATGGCGTAGTGAAGTGGTGTTGCGGCAGTCGCATCCACCGCATTCACATCTCCGCCAAGGTCTCTGACGACGAGTGTCATGATGGCCTCGGACCCTGACAGCGCGGCAATATGGGGTAGTTTGGCATTGGGTACTGACTTCCAGTGATCCCTCGCGTACATTTGTGGTCTGTAAGCCCGATCAGGGACTGACAACACCTTCCAAGCCCCATTTTCGAAGGGTGGTAGGTTTTCACGAGCGATGAGTGTGTCGTGGGAGCCGCCATTCTCAAGAAGCTCGCGAGCTATAGACTCATGGTTCTGACAAATGGCAAGATGAAGAGGCGTCCAGACAGGATGCGACGACCATGCTCCCATGCTAGTTCTTGGCCCACCGTAATTCATGCCAAGGCGGACGATTGCAGGCATGCATGGACACAGGAATCGACCAGGAGAGTTGACCTTGACTTTCTGCACGTGCACAAGCCATCTGACAATTTCTTCGCGTCCATGTTGAACAGCAAGATGTAGTGGGGTTGCCCAACACTGATCGAGTGGGATTCTAATCGGTTCTCGGCTTCCGTCGTAATTCCAAATAGGAGGTGGGATTCCGTAGACTTTGTTCAGGTCCGCACCGAATGCCGCAGCGACTTTGAGAGTGTCCAGATTGCCCTTGGCAGCAGCAAGAACCGTGATTTCCGTACGTGACTGTCTGACGGCTTTGCAGTATAGGTTGACTTGAAATATTCCGTACAACATTCGGTTGACCCGTGCAAGAGCGGCCAGCTCATGAAATGAGTCGACGTAATAACCAATCTCAAGCCAGATTTCCGGACTGGCTTTGCTGGCTGTAGACATCTTATCCTCAGGTCCTCGATCAGTGCGTTCTTCGGTCTTGGACATGTGATTGGCCGGCAGCCCAATGCAAGAGGTGCCTCCATATACTGAGCTTACAGTCTGCTTGATGTCGAACCAGTTGCATGAAACGAGTGGTTCCTACAGCTCCCTACCAAAGTTCCCTGTCAAGTAAGAGATAGGTTATTCGAAGAAGAAAGAGAAGGAGATGAAGACGCGCAAGTTGGAGATCAAGAAAAACGAGTACACAGGGTGAAATGGTATCCGCTCTTGTCCGAGGCGAAACCCTATCACCTGGCAGTGATACTCAAAAGACCTAATTGTATAATATCAACAAAGACTCATGAGTCGGGTCGCAACTCGTAGTCCGCTGACGGCCTCTGTCGCTATGCGCTCCAGGTCAGTTGGTCAAGGGCAAGTAGGAAAGGAGTTTTTTTCTCGAGCGCGTTTGCTACCAACACGTGTTGCCAATGCCAACACCAACAACACCCCTGGCGGCTGGGATCCCCTCGAAATGTAGAGCCCGCCGAAGTGCATCACAAACTTGACGCCTCACGTAACAGGTAACAGATACTGCATCCGAGAATACCAAGTTGTCGCATCCTTCTCAATAGTCCCAACTGAGCTCAATATGCCAAACTTCAATTCGAACCATGACCTGGTACTGTAAAAATCGCTGATTGCAATGTTAAGTTCAAGCAATTGATCAGTATTGCTGGAGTCTGAGGAGATCCATTCTAAGCCCGGTGAACTTAGCATCCATGTCACATGTGGACTTGGGCCCAACGACCTCAAAATGATAATTAAATACCTCTGCGAGAAGAAAAAGAGTAAAAGAGTCACCAAACAGACCAAATCGCTGTTTGAGAACTAATGAGTGAACACTAAGAACGCCTAAGCGCAATCACCAACTTCTAAAGAGCGAAACCAGGAACGAAAGGTATAAGAAAAAACATGTTCTCTCGGGCTCCCAATCTATGACCCCTGACAGCCGCTCACACCTCTACTCAATTGACCAGTTGAGCACTCTGTGAGACTCTGAGGCAGGCACCGAGAAGGCCCAAGGGGGCTACCTATGAGGTTCGAAGAGAAAATTCCAAGACTGACTCGATTTTTCCTTCGATGCACAAAACGCCGTCTCAGCTGGCACACTGGGTGTTGTTTGAGCCTCCAACAAATCGACGGAAGAAACGCGTAATCCCCGCAGTCCATTTCCCTGGAGCCTTCTGCTTTTGTTCGCGTGTCACTTGAGGCGCGCAATAAATAGGCAACGTCTCCTCCGGCTCGTCAAATTCATCATCGTCATCGACATCAAAATCGAAGTCCGGCCAGGACGGCGATGTAGCTGGCACCACCATAGAATACGAAGCACCAGCCAAAATGAGATACCGCGCAATCTCACCATTCCCTCCACAAAGCGCATGATGCAGCGGCGTCCACGCAATACGCTGGCTGAATATTTTCTTCGTCATGGTCCATTGCGAGCTCTGCTGATTCGAGACGCAGTGGCAAAGATACCGCGCCGGAGCATTGATGTTGACGCCGTGATCGATCAACCACTTCACCACATGCATGTGGCCGTTTCTCGCAGCCAGATGGAGTGGCGTACCCCAACACGTCGTCGAATAAAACGAGTCAATGCCGAATTGTTCGAAGCTGGCCAGCAACTCGACAGACGGCTCGACGGGACGCACACGCCCGAGATCGGCGCCGAAAGCCGCGGCAGCCTTCAGCACCGCGAGCTGGCCATTTGCTGCAGCTGTAGTCGCGATTTCGGGAAGATCTCTCTCAATCGCATCGCGGAAGAGTTCCCGCTGCAGGATACCGCAGAGTCTATGGTTGACACGACAGAGAGCGGCGATACTTGAGGTCGAGTCAAGGTGCTCGGCAATCTGAAGCCAGATTTCGTCAGGGAGGCTTTGGACCGACATTCTGCTCTCTCAATTCAATGATGAGGAGCGGCGGTGGCTGGAGAGGTGTCAGCCGGCCAACTCGGATATCAAAAAGAGATATGCGCGAACCTATCAAATGAAGAGAACTGGGGGTGATGGTAACTTGCAGGAATACGTCGGGCCTTGGATGATGGCTGAATCACGTTTTGCGATGGAAGGAAAGAGAACTCAGGAGGCAGCTTCCATTCTCAGGG